TTCTTCATGGAGACTTACATGAGGATGTTTACATGCGCATTCCTCAAGGTTTTTCCAAACTTGGCGATAATCGCGTTTGTAAACTTCACAAATCCTTGTATGGGCTTCGACAGGCCTCTCGCAACTGGTACCAAAAATTCACTCGGGCACTTCTCGACATTGGTTTTTCCCAATCTTGAGCAGATCACTCCTTATTTATCTACAAACTTGGTTCTATAACCACCTTTGCGCTCATTTATGTTGATGATGTTATCTTGGCCGGAAACTCCTCACCTCACATCACACATGTCAAGAAATTTCTGGATGAGACATTTAGCATCAAGGACTTGGGTCCTCTTAAATATTTTCTTGGCATTGAGGTGGCACGCTCTCCTGACGGTTTTGTCTTGAGTCAACGAAAATACACACTAGACATTATGCAGGAAGCCGGCTTACTTGGTGGACGTCCAAGTCAATTTCCAATGGACCAAAACTTGAAGCTACGACCCGATGATGGGAGTCCACTTGTTGACGCCTCCTCTTATCGGAGACTAATTGGTCGACTGTTATATCTTACTGTGACACGACCAGACATTGTTTTTTCGGTGACTCAACTTAGCCAGTTTCTGAGCAACCCATGACAATCTCACCTTGATGCCACCACTCGGATTCTCAGCTACCTTAAAACAACGCCTGGCCAGGGAATTTTTCTTTCATCAGATTCTGATTTCAATTTAACTGGATATTGTGATGCCGACTGGGCCGGTTGTCCCTTCACTCGGCGTTCTAGCGCAGGCTACCTCATCCGTCTCGGAACCTCTCCCATTTCTTGGCGCACCAAGAAACAATCTGTCGTCTCTCGTTCTTCTGCAGAAGCTGAATATCGAGCTATGGCCGATCATCGTTAGTGAAATCTTATGGCTTCGTTGGTTGCTCCATGACCTCACACTTCCGCAATGCCATCTCACCCCTCTCTACTGTGACAATCAGGCCGCTCGACACATCACCCTTAACCCTGTCTTTCATGAACGCACCAAACATGTTGAAATGGATTGTTATTTTGTTCGTGAACGTGTGGCCAACGGGGATATTAAACCATGTTATATTCCTACCGCCGATCAAATTGCAGACATTTTCACCAAAGCTCTCGGTGCTCATCGTTTTCAGAATCTTCGTAGCAAGTTGGGTGTTCGGAATCTTCACACTCCAACTTGAGGGGGAGTATTGAGTTTTATATTTACCATCTCTATTATTGAGTTTTATATTTACTATTTATATTAACATCCGTATGTACAACCAAATATTCATGGTTTTAAAAGGCGAAACGCACCTACGCCTCAGAGGCGTAAAAGCGCAAAGGCGCTATCAAATCGCCTGTAAGGCTTGAGCATCACCTTCCACTAACAAGGCTAACGCCTTTTTTTGCTGAGGCGGTGATGCGATCCCAGTGCGCAAGGCGTAATTGAGGCGTACGCATTTCACTAAACGCAACTTGGGCTCTTTTTTTTGAACTATTGGGGGCCTCGATTTAATTTTTCTTTAAAAACTACACGTTTATCTCTTAGGTAACACACGACATCCCTAGGTAACTATTTAATTACCTTCCACTACTACTATATTAAGAAACGGCTTGAAAAACTCTCTCAGTCGAAGGCTTGAAGCTGAGTATGTAGACTTCGATCTTTCAGAGTTGCTTTCATTCCGGGTATTATTAAGTAGATATACTAAAATATCCCAACGACCACTTGTATAGAATATCCCACCGTGTACAGCATACTTCTATAGTTTCTTGTTGTATTTATTGTTTAAGTTAATTTGTTTTAAATTTTTAATTATTTAAAAGTTCAGGTTTGAAGTAAATAGTCTGCTACGTATTTAATGCTTTTTCAGCCAGCAAACTATAAAATATTCCACCGCCTCACTATAGTTGTTATGCACTTATGCTATTATTAAGTATTATGGTTGTCAACTTGTCATTCAATATTATTATTTTATTAATTTATTACTGTACTATTGGCCTACAGTTTAAACTTTAAAGTGATCATAAAACTATCATTTAGCTTATTTATTTGTCCTGGAATTTTAGTGTTTACGTTGGTTTGAGTTTTGACTTTGGCATTTCAATTTTATGGTATTCTGACTTGGATGTTTTATAGTTATGTTATTTTTACTTGATTTTGTTTAGATGGGATATTCTTTTAAACATTTAAGCAATTAATTTTGAGGCTTACGCCTCGAGGCTTACGCCTCGTGAGGCTACGAGCAAATGCCTCGAGGCCCGATTTCGCATTTCAAAACCTTGCAAATATTGGGACCCATACTCATGCACCCATCTAGCCTATATAAGCAAGCCTTCTTTCATTGTAAGTGTATCAGAATACACATATGTAGTAAGCAATATTTCCTGCAAACTCTCTTCCGTCAAATAATGAAGTTGATGAGATTTGTTAAATCCTTGTTTTGTATTATCATTTCCATCAAGTGAATTAGATGGATTTAATTACGGATATAAATCAAATGTATGGATTAGGATGTTTTTAATTGGATGGTTTCAGTCTCATACCAAATCGGATTAGATTTTAATAGATCATGCCAGATTTAAACACATCAAACCAGATCTCATCAGACCTGAACAAACTTTAAACATCCTAAGTGTGTATTATAAATAAATAATACTTTGGGTAACAAGTGAAATTTATACCATATAACAAAACATGGAATGATCACAATTTTATTTCTATTTTCTTGCAAAGTGGTAAATTTCTTTGCAGATTTTCAAAGATAAATCTCTCTCAATTTGGGAAAAAAAACTTATGCTAGTTATTTTTACCCTGAAGAATGTTTTCTACCAAATACGCACAATACTGCTAGTTGTTTATGAGCATATCAAGAAATATAATTATTAATCCGAATAAGGTTAATCTCAACTTAAGTGAGAGATATGATATTTTCACCATAATGTAATTCCCATCAGGACAATCTTGTACGTTTTTTAAATAATTGCTCCTTTAAGATCTGAATAGTATCCATATTCATATTTCATTTACTCAACTTATTTTAATTCTAAATAAAGTTAGTTTAGATGTAAACATATACAACACTCATTATGTATCAATTGCATGCTCATAGAAGCATCTCATATGCCATATGTATGCTACATTTAGATATGCACATAATTTCTGTCCCGCTAAACCATAAAAGGTTAAAAGTGTAATTGAGCTGATTTGTACTTGAACAAATCTAGAATCATGTTGAAAAGTACTACGAGAGGAGTAAACAAACCTACACTAATGATGTGTTGTGGCCTGGAGTTCCCCAACAACAACGTTAATAGTGGTGATAATCATAGTTTAAATAATGTATACTACCAAAAAAGGTCAAAATGTAATATAATAATGTGTATTTAACAAAATTTATTTTCAAGTATTAAATAACATCTATTGCAACAAAAAAAACACAGACAAAAAATAAATATTATTGGAATAAGAGTTTTCATCAAAATCAAATACAAAAAAAACACAATTTTACAACTGTTCTCTACGTGTTTTCATCAATTGATATCGCTTGATAATGACCAGTGATGTCAGGCGCAATAGCGCGCTATGGCGGAATAGCATTGCGGCAAACATGGAAGGCGCTACGTGGAGGGCTCTGGCGTGGCGTTTGGGTGTAGCAGCCATAGCGCCCGCTATCGCAGTGGTGCGTAGAATCCGAGAATGGTATGGCAGGCGCTAACGCGGCGCGTTTTATGGTAAAGCAGAACTGCGCATTCTGGGATGGGTTTTAGCGTTTAATCTTTTAGCCCAGACATAGAAGGGGTAAATTAGACTTTTAAAACAATATATTAACCAACTTAAAACCTTACACGTACGTCAAAGGTTACTAAAAGCTCAAAACGAAGCCACCTTTTGAAAATACTCAGTTGAACCTCTGCAATGACTTCTCCAGGAACGATGATCCTCTGCGATGACTTCACCAGGAACGACGATCATCTGCGATGACTTCTCCAGGAACCTCTGCGATGAAAATACTCAGAAACTCAGTTGAACCTTCTGCTGCAACATCTTCTTCCCCAGCCTTTGCTGCAGACCTGCAGTCTTCTGTTTAAGCCAACAGGAGAATTTTGACTCCCACATTCGTACATATAGACCTGCACCAACTATAGTGACCAAGCCAACACACACTATGCAACATCTTCTTCCCCAACCTTTGTTGCAGACCTGCAGTCTTCCTTTTAAGCCCACAGTAGGTTAATCTTCTTCTCGTATGGAGTCTAGTCAGTCCACTCTCTTCTCGTATGAATTCAAAGGGCTTGCAAGTCATATCTAAGTTTTTTGACTGTTAATTTGTCAAGGCTTAAACTCTTACACTAGAACCTTGTTTTTGACTCAATGTTTTGACTTAAGATGTTTTAATTATTAATAGCATCTTATGTTTTGCTCAGTAGTCTCTTTGCAGACCTTAGATGTACCTTAAAGGTAATAGATTTACCTTAAAGGTAATAGATGTACCTTAAAGGTAATAGATGTACCTTACAGTAGTTAAAACTTAAAACATATGCTTCCAATAAGGCAAAGAGTATTTTTTTTCCATATGTATGTATTACATATGCTTCCAGTAGTTACTTATCTACTATATTTGAAAGTACTCTAAATAGCGGTCATCCCGCTATCCGCTATACCGCTATAGCGTTTTTGGGGCTGCCCGCTAAGCTCCTCTATCCGGGATTGACAACATTGATAATGACATGATAAGTCCAGAACCAAATTGGGTCTAGAACAAATTGGGTCCACAAAAAATTGAGACGATCACATATAAGTCAAGAACCAAAATGGGTCAAGAAAAAATTGAGAAATACTTTATAATTAAAGGGCCGAATGGGTATTAAATATATCCAATTTCTTGAAATTGGAAAGCTGGAATTCGAACCAAAGCCCCCAACTTCAAGAAGCTAAAGCCTAAAAGCCAAAAATGGAATTGAAATTACAGAAAAGAACTTAACGAAGAGTAAAGGTAGAAACCTGGATGAAGGAGATAGAATAACGGATGGGGCGGCCGAGTGGCCGAGACGACTGCCGATTAGCGCCTGCGTCCTTGCTGCGTGGCTGTGGACTGTGGTCTGCACTCTGCAGGCAGCGGAGATGTCAAATGTATTTGGGATTTTGATTTGTGGCTTTGACGAACAAGATTGATATTTCCTAAGTTGGGCACTTGGGCCTCACTTTTTATTAAGGTTTTTTTAGGGTGGGCCTGATTTATACACGTGTGATGCATGGCATGTTATTCAACTCTATATGTATTTCCAAATTATTTAGATCATCTCCAATCCTATAATATGCACGGTGCACATGTGGCGTGAGAGATAACTACATAAATATTAGTAAATAAATTCTTTATCTCCTTATTTGAATGATTTTATGCAGTTTTGGTAAGTTTTTCTCCACAATGTCAAGGAGACCGTCTAGATATTGACATTGCAGTTGACATTGCAAGGGGAAACTTACCAAAATTGTATAAAATCATTCAAATAAAGAGAGAGATAATTTATTTGCTAATATTTATGTGATTATCTTGTATGTCACATGTGCACCGTACACACTATAGCATTGGAGATGCTCTTAGTGGGAATGTCTCGTTATGCCCATCTTTCCTAATGTCATTTCATTTATGTCTCCTCATAATCTATTTTCCAGTATAAACTTCCACCTTTTTAATCTTAACTTTTATATTTCAAAAATAACTTAAATCTCAAAACAAAACCCAAATTCAGAAATCATCAATTGGTAGCACCGGAGTCTGGTTTGTGAGTCCGTCCACCGTATAACCGGTTGTACGGTGCGGTGGCATTTTTGTAATTACTGTGAAATCATGATTTCTGCTAAATGAGCATTAGTGCACTGTTAATGAGCAATAGTCCAATTTTAATGAGTATTAAGAGTCTAATAATGAGCATTGTGTTATTACAAGAAAGCTGATACCACAACTACAAAAATGGTGGTATTTTCATAATTTCAGTAAAAACGTGGTTTTCTTTAGATGAGCATTGACACACTTTTAATGAGCATTAGACCTATGCTACAGAGCATTAAGAGTCGAATAATGAGTATCGTGATATCAACTTCATATATTGTAATTCACTTTATTTTTCGTATTTTATCTTTTATAAGAACTTATTAAATTATATCTATAATCAATTTTTATGAATTTCAATATGCAATGTAATGTAATATGCTACTTTTGAAATATGCATTGTTATGACATTTTAAAAATGAACATTACATGAGTAGCAGTTGAACATACATAATTTAGAAAACGAGCATTTATATGAAACTCATAACTATTTTTAGTTGAGTATGAAGACATTTTAATTGAGCATCAAACATCATCTATTGAATATTAGAAACATGCAATTGTGTATCATTGTATGTGTCTTCATATCTATAATTAACTTTTACGTGAATCTAATGTAACATGGTACTTTTGAAATATGCATTGATATAACATTTTAAATTGAGCATAATACCAGTACAAAATGGGCATACATTACTTGCCAAATGAGCAATGATATGAAAATCATAAGTTTTGTTAGTTGAGCATCAAAACATTTTTATTGAACATTAAACTTGCTCGATTGAGTGTCAAAAATATGCAATTGATTATCATGACATTTCTTCCCATTATATAATCTGACTCTTATGCGGATCTAATATGATACTTTTGAAATATGCATTAATATAACATTTTAAAATGAGAATAAAATCAATATTAGATGAGCATACGGTACTGACAAAATAAACATCAAAAAATTCAAAAACTCATTTGAATTCTTTAATGTGTTCAAATATTCAATTGTGTATGCTCATTTTTTCATCGTTATACTCATTCAAATATTACACAAATTGTTTTCTATAATATATTTATCTGGTAAATTCGTTATTATGAATTGTGGATGCAAATTTATTTTAAATTATACTAGTATAACACAAAACAGACGTTAGTAATTAACATACAATATGTAATAAACTAAGAAATATTCATCTTAAAACTAAAAATATAGAAAACAAACACTTATACCTAAAATATTTTGCACAAATTAAAAAACTTAAGTTAGAAGGTGATTGAAAAAAAAAGACAAACTCAAACATTAAATAAAAAATAAAGTAAAAGATCGTTACAGAAAACATAAAGAAAAGAAAGGCAACAAGTAAAATAAAGAAAAAGAAAGAAGAGAAGCAACAACACAAAGCAACGAAAAACAAAAGAAAAGAAAAAGAAAAAAAGATAACTTGAAAGAAGAAGGTACGGCGGAAAACAAAAGAAAGGAGAGAAGAAAAAAGAGAAACTCAGAAAGCTCAGGAGGAACCGAGGAAGGTACGGCGGAAAAGAAAGAAAAGCAAGAAAAATCACTAAGCTTATTAATATCCCGAGAGTTGGACTAAATTACAAAAAAAAGGTTGTATCATGTCCTAGGTACAGCCGGTTGTACGATAGTATTTGTCCTGGTTCGTCTATCCTCATGACCAGTCAAGTGAAGAAGCAGACATGATGGTTGTTCCCCTCCTGCCCAATGCCAGTTGCGCCTCCGGCCTCCACGACTCCACCCTTTGTCGACTGCCCTCCGTCCTCTGTGGCTCCACCCTCCACCCTTCACCCTCGACCGCTGCTTGCTCGACTACTCGTTCTGCTCGCTGAATTGCAGGGTGACTGCCTACTTGTTGATTTTCGATTTGAAGGTACGTGTTTGACATTTTCAGCATTTTACTTTCGTGTTAATTTTTGTTGTAATTCACATAGTTAAGCGTTATTCCTGTTTTTTGATTAACCGGATTTTAATAAGAAAGGAAGTCATGTCTGAAAGTTAGTTTAAATAATTTGTGTTTTATCACGCATGTATCTTCTTCAAGTATAGTAGGATAGATATGACATGCTTTTTTATCCTTTAGGTTACTTGTAAATTTATATTAGAAAAACGAGCTTGATATATTGTACATTTATATATTGTGTAGTAATAATATTTGTATTTCTGATCATGAAGAAATAGAATTAAAAGTGTATATAATATGTTGTTTTTCCTTTTTGTTTCACTTTGTTGTATTGTATTGTTTTTTGTTGCATCTTGTTGCTTTTTGTTGCATCTTGTTACTTTTTGTTGCATTTTATTGCTTTTTTATCATTGATTAACGCCTGATTTATTTTCTTTATTTTTTATTTATGTTTTCATTTTTTTTATGTTGTAACAAAGGGACTCTATAGTGACAGGATTCCATATAATAAAACCATCAGCAAGAAACAAAAAATAAACAACAAAAAACAAAAATCAACAATAAGAAACAAATATAAACAATAGGAAACAAAATATGAAAATTCATTACATTTTATCCTTTTTTATGGTACATTACGTTTTATCTATTTAACAAATTTTGAATTATGTATTTCTGAAATTTTATTTATATTTTTTTATTGTCGATAAAATTTAAGTTTTAAAAATTAATTTGTATTTCTATTGTTTCCTGTCATGTTTTATTTTACATTCAATATGAGTAAATATTTTTCTAGTTTTTTGTTGCATTTCTACATGTTTTTTTCGTCTACATTTTTCTGTCATTTTATGGACTTTGAAATGTTTAGCTATTGATTATTTTAACTTTCTAATATTAAATATTTATTTTCACTTTTGATTTCTTAATTTGTAATTTTATAAATTTGAATTTTTTATTTTTATTGATTTATTTCTTTTAGAAGTTTAAGATTTTTGTTTTCAATTTAAATATTTATCCTCAATATTTTATTTTTCAAAGTTTTTACGTTTTAGTTTACATCTTTTTACAATTGAAAAAACGTTTTACATTATTTTGAACCGTGTTATTTTTTTAAATTTTTCGTATCTTACTTTTTTCCCTTGTTCTATTTATTTTCATTATAATTTTCATATTTGTTATTTCCTATTAATTTTATATTTCTAGTACTGATTTTTTAAGAGATATTTCTAGTACTTCTTTGTAATATTTGTATCATCTTTTACTATTCTAATCATTTGCATGCTTTTTCAATAGTCTAAAAATTATTATTATTTTTTATTTAAATATTGTACTTCTTTTTATAAATCTCTTATTTTCATAATTTCTGAGATTCAGAAAATTTTCAATTTGTACATATTCTTTATATCTTATATCATTTCTTTGAGTTTCTCTAGTTTTTCAATTTTTAATTTTTTCAATTTTTAAGTTGCAATGAATGGTAAGTACCACATACGTAGTACGGTAGTAGTATACTCTGTATACTTGAGAGTGGGGCACGATCGAGGTGGTTTTACGAGTTAGAGTTTTTTTAAGCTTACTGTTGTATAGTTTAGAGTATCTTTAATGGGAGACCGTCAACATTAAAAAAAAATATGACACATGACAATGCATGATTGGAATGTTTAGCCATGTAGGAAGAATGTTAAGACCCACGTTGCAACGACTTGATAAATCAGAGAAATGGTCTTCAGTGGGAGACCAAATACACCAGCGTAATGCTCTCCACTTTGCAACAGATTGCACAAGAGAGAGGTGGGAAGGTGAATTTTTTTAGTGGGTAGTTTTTTTAGTCGGCAGGATATTTCTTAACCCCCCAAAATGGCTGACGTAACATGTGAACGGGCATGTTAAACGAATACATTGATGTAAACAGTGTCAAATTTATTTTTTGACAAGTCAGCATTACAAGAAAATTTACATGTTGCATTGAAAACTAGTTTTTTACACCGATGTTTAAAGCGGATGACGTAGCCATCATTTTTAATGTGAACAGCTTCGGATCGGAGATGCTCTTAGATCTATCATTGAAGAGTTATGCTAGAGGTACAAAAAGTCTTACAAAATGGGGTATGTGGCATCATCACATTATTTAACACATCACATCACATTTACAACACTTTTACATCAATGGTAATTAGAATAACCACATCACTTGTTTGTAAATTTTTTTGTAAGTGTGTTTTTACTTCTAGCATTTTTCATCATTGAAAGGGACATGTTAGCTAGAATATTTTTGAAAATAAAAATGAAAAGTGCAAAAACTGATATTATTTTCAGATTTTGGTTCGCTTGTGAAAAGTGTAAGAACTGAAAAATTCCCAATTATTTAAAATTAAAGTAGCTCTAATAAATAAAATCTAAATTAATTTCAATAAATTATGTCTTGTATATGGATTCATTTAAAAAAATTATTTTCACCTACTTCATTTTCAGACTCGTAAACATGCCTACCTGCGACTTTAATGCCCATGTGTTAATTGCTTGTTATGTAACTTACAATACTAAGAGTGTGTTTGCAAGAACTTAAAAATACATTTTTATGATTTCTTTGATTGGTGGGAAAAGCTAAATCAAATGAAAAGCTAGAAGCATGGAGAGTGATGATTTTAAATGTTTTTCATTTTTTATGACATCAAAATGCACTTTTTTCACTTAATCAAACACTCTAATTTTTACTTTTCAAAATTACTTTTCTTTTCAAAATACTTTTCATATAATTTCTAAAAAACACTTCTAAAATTAGAATCTCTTGCAAATATTCCCGGCCTAGAAGTGTGTGGCATATGTAAAAATGCAATTACAGAAAATAGTTAAAGAAATGCATTGAGCATAACTCTAATCTGAAAAGATAAAAATAAATCGCAACTATTAATTCCTACATATGTCGTTTGGATTCAAGGATATCAGCATGAAAGGAGATGATATTTAATTATTTATCAGCATCTCACCATATATCATCAGTGATCAGGTGTAGGCATGTCAAAAAACCCAGTGATCAGGTGTAGGCATGTCAAAAAACCCAGGTCCGAGACATTTGGGACGGGTCTGGCCCGCCCCATCTTGTAAATGGAGCGGGTCCACCCCGCCCCGCCTATACAATGGGGCGGGTCGGGGTATTAGTATTGACCTGTGTCGCCCCGACCCGTCCTGTCCCGACCCGCTCAATATATAAGTATATACATACTTTTTCTTAAATTATACTACCTCTGTTCCTATTAAAACCTCCAAATAGGTTTGGCACACAGTTTAAGAAGTGAGTATTGTGTGGTGGAAAGTTGTGCAGAGGAGCGAGAAATGTATAAGAAATGTTGTGAACCACAAATTCTTTACTAAAAAGGGAAAGTGAAAGTTTTAATTGGAACAGACGAAAAAGGAAAGTTGGAAGTTTATTTAGAAATGGAGGGAGTACTACAAATATACTTCAACATACATATATGTGTATACAATAAATCATAAATTCTTTGATCTTATATATATATATATATATATATATATTAGATTGAGATGAACGACAGATTATCAATGTCTTCTTTATATATAGCATTTTAATACATATATTCAAGTATTAATATTAATTAAATAGATTAACTATTCAAGTCTAAGTGATTTTTCCTTAACTTTTGAAATTTCTAGCGTATCGTAAATTTGATTTAATATTATATATATATATACATACATATATATATATATATATATATATATATATATATATATTTAATAAGTATTTAAAGATAAATGTTATGTAGATTCAATTAATTCATGTATAAACTATATGATAAACTCATGTATCCAAATGGATTGAATCCATATGCACATAAACTCAATCGAACATTTCGTTGTTAACTAGCAAAGTCGGGGTAGTTCTCATCAAACTCTTTCCATTCTTTGCCATCAAGTGGATGTTGCATCATGTCTGGATCAGTTGATTTACCCATTTGATGCCATGTCATTTCTTTGGAGGTGTGTCGTTAAACAAATGATCGTCTCAATCTATCCTTCAATGGAAAATAGTGGAGAACTTTCCATGGAACTTTTCCCCCCTTTCATTTTTCCACCAGCTCGTGTTGCAAATTGGACATGTTTGCAAATCAGCATTACTCTTCCAGAACAAAGCACAATCATTCTTACACACATGAATCTTTTCGTAGCCTAGTCCCAATTTGCTCAACTTTTTCTTTGACTCGTAATGAGAAGTTGGTAACTTATTACCATCAGGAAGTACATCTTTTAGCAACTTTACCACTGAATCCATGCACTCGTTCGCCCACTTATAGAGTACTTTCAAGTGCATAAGTTTTACTAAAAAATTTAGCGAAGAAACTTTAGTGCACCCTGGATACAACTCCGCATGAAGCTCAAATAATAGATCCTCAAATTGAGTAGGCATTCCATCACCCATAATATATGTGGTATCACCTCTTATGCCATGATCGTGAGTTTCTCCAGCAATGTCATTCAGTACTGCAGCCATTTCATCCTCTGCCTCATATTCTACATTTGAATTCAGAAATGATGGTATCTCAGGTGGCTCACCATGAAAAACCCAATGCGCATATCACATCAAACCCAGATTCAAAGATATGTCGCTTAACGTCTTTCAATGGAAGCATTTTTTCATTCACACATTGTTTACAAAGACAACTTATATTTCCTTCTTCATTCGCAAAGTCTTTTGCATAGTCTATAAAACCACTCAAACCATTCCAATACTCTTTCGATAATCGATTCTTTATATATATCCAACTCTTATCTATCAGCATCCTCACCTAGAAGAGAACAACTTCAACACTCTATCAATATATTTATGAAATAAGGATTAGTGAATGAGTTTAGTTAATAAAATGAAATGAAAACATTTTTTAAATGTCAGTGATTTATTGTTATTTGAAAGTTAGAATTAATATAATACTTATTTTATTCTAAAAGTAATTCTTTTTATAACTCCTATTTAGCAATTTAGGGCTAGTTTTATTTTTACGTAATGTTGCTCTTTCACATAGAAGCAATTCATCTAATCTCATAATACATTATGTGTTTTTTTACTTGGTTGGAACAAAAATCTGCCAAACAATCTTAATTTACAAACATCTTTATTTGGCCTGCTGCATTGTATACATTTTTTAGTTATACATTATGTACTCTAACGACTAACGAGAAATCAGGGAATTTTATTTCTCCTGTTCTTGCAACACACTTGAAGTGCAAAGCAAAGGTAAAAAAGACGATTGCATGAAATTTAACCTTTTGTGTTGTAGTATATCCACTAGTATGATGAACTCTTTTTGTCTGTTTTTATTAATGATTTAGGTAATGATGATCAAATTGTCTGTTATTTTAGGAAGGTAAAAATTACAAAAACGAATACCTCAGATCCGTAGATAATTCACAGAAACCAAAGAGTATGTATTGTTTGAGTGTGAGATTTTTACTTGTTCTGCCTTTGCCCTCCCGTATCCTTTCTTTTTTGCTTGGTTTGGCACTAGACATATATATGTATATATGTTTCCATTTTGGCGAAAAATGGTCAAAATTTGGCATGACTTTATAAGAAAAATTTTAACTTGGTAAAATCTAAATTATTGATTACTTGGTTATTTCATTTGGGTTAGCCCACTTCATGAAATAGACAACCTGATAAATATTTGAGTAATTGTAAGAAGCAGTTAGAGAAGAAAAACATGTGAACAAAAAGTTTGATTCCAATTGATAGAGTATATCTCTAGAGAGAAGTGAGAGCTAGAGAGAGAAGTAGTATATTTGCTTGATGTTAATGAATTCTGAACCCCTACAACTACTCCCAAGGGGAGTATTTATAGAGAAAATATGGGCTGGGCTCCCAAGCCTTGGGCTTGGGAGGCCCATATACAACTGGACCGCTACTGGGCCGAATACAAAGCCACTAATGGGTTGTACAAATGAATAAGTATAAAATCCGGTTCTGTGAGGTCTTCATGGCCGACGAGGGCACGGCCGACGGGGGCGCGGCCGACGAGGGCACCCGGGTTCCTTGGCTTCAGGACCATAATCTGAGTTGGCACCTTCTCGGCCGACGGGGGCGTCTTCGGCCGACGAGGGCGCCACTCTGTGTCTTGTGCTTTCTGTTCTTCCGAGTATGTGGGTCCAGGGGCTCAGACCCATATACTCCATCAGGAGTCCCCCACTCTCTAAGCTGAGACGTAGACGAAGTGAAGAAGAGTAGATTCCCGTGTTTTAGCGCTTTTGGCCGATGCGGGCATCCCCGGGTCGTTAGCCGTTGCGGCGTTGGCGTTGTTTCCTCTTTGGTGTGTTCATTCGAGGACGATGAGTCTCCCGCTTCGACAGTGGCCGTTGAAGGCACGCTTTCCTTTTCATGGGCATTGATGGTTGAAGTTTGGGCCGATGAGGCCGTTGAGGTTGTTCCTTGCTCTGAGGACGATGGCGTCCTTTCCTTTGGGTGGCCGATGGGGGTGGTTGCGCACTCCTTTTGGCCGTCGTTGATTAGCTTTCATGTTTCTGGCCGAAGAGCCCCTCGTGATTAAGTGATGGCGAAGGACGATGAGCGTCCTTGCCTTTGGTGGTCCGTTGGCCGTTGCAGATGGCGTTGTGTGCCTTCGGTCGACGAGGTGCAGTGTGACGCATGGCCGATGTGGCCATGCTCTGTGGTTACCTTGTTTGCATTCTCTTTTGTTTTGTTGAGGCCGGTGTAGTCCCCCAGTCACCCACTTCTTCATGCCGAAGAGTGTGAGGGGTGAAGGAGTTGCCTGAGTCCCAGGCCGAGGCGGCCTCTCCGTAGTGCCCCTGAATCCAACCCTTATGGCGATTTTCTGGCCAAGGTAACCCTGTGGGAGAACCCCTGTGCACAGATCGCTTGTAAAGAGTTATCATCAAGGGCCGTTACGAGGAGCCGACGACTGTGGGTTTTTGTTCCTTTGGTCATGTGGCCGTTCATTACGTTCCTGGCCGTTGTCATCTCCCTATCGTTGGCGCTTGTGAATTTGGTATGTGAATAGGCCGGTGTGGGCGCTTGCTGGCACTTGTGAAGCCGGCAAGCGTAGAGGCCGTAGAGTCTGTTTTGCTGGTGGGCTCTTGATGTTTTGCTTGGCCCGTTGTTGACGTGGCGGCCTCTCATTGGTGGCCGTTGACGTGGCCATTGGGAGGGTGCCACGTGTAGTGACCGTTGGGTGGGGGGTTCTATAAATACCCCTCCCCCTCCGACGAGAAAACTCATTTGCTTTCTGAGTGTTGTCGAAGTGCTGCCCGGATTTCTAGAGAGATAAACTCTGAAGCTTGTTCTTCGTGTTCTTCGTTTGTTCAAGGTTAGTGTTCATCGAAATCCTCTCTGTACTTTGCATGTTTTGCTTCCTAGGCTAGTGATCTAGTGTTAGGCCCTTGAGTATCCTTAGATCTTGAAGTAGGCTGCAGTATATTCGAGATAGTGTTTAAGATGAAAAACCTCAACGAGGAGTACTATCCTTATGACGACGAGCCCTCTGCCCAGTCCCTTGATTATGACCTTCTCGAGGAGTTCTGTGAGGAGATTGAGAATCTGAGCTCGTTCCGTACCGGGGAGCCGGCCGAAGAGGACCATGCGGACGAGGGGTCTGCGTCATCGTCTGGTGGTGAGGACGCGGGGGTCTCTCGAACTGCTGATGGGGCATCCACGTCGGCTGCCATCCCCTGCCCTAAACATGTGTCTGCTGTGAAGGGCGTTGCACCGCCGAGGAGGGTTAGGAGGCCGAAGAGAGGGCCAGCCTTTTCTCACCTTGATTTGACGAACATCTATGTCATCAGGCCGCAGAGTAATGCGGGGGAATACTTGGTCGCCCAAATGTATGTGGGGCCGTACGGCAGGGTTAGGGCCCCCGGGCCAACGGACCATGTCCTCAATCCCCCCCGGGCTACTTCGGAGTGTACCCGATGAGCTTTGCTAAAGGGCTTAGGTTTCCGCTTCATCCTTTTATCACTGAGTACCTGGATATGGTGGGGCTCCCTCCGGCCTTGTTGACGCCGAATAGCTACTCCCTCATCGTCGGCTTCATCCTGCGGTGTGCTGAATTGGACTTCAGGCCGACGACTGCGCTGTTTATGAACTTGTATTAGATAGGCCGTGGGAGTCATCAGAACTGTGCGTCGTATGCCACCCTTCAACAACTTCCCAAGAAGAGGAGTTTCACAGATCTGTCGACGTCCATCCATGGGTGGAAAGGGAAGTTTGTGTTCGTGTCTCTGGGCGAGGGGGGCACAGAGTTTCCCTCCGTCGGCCACACAGGCCGTTTTAATCTTCATGATGCGCCGAGGAGCTCCATCCTGGACGCTCAAGTTGAGGCCTTCCTGGAGGGGGGGCCGAGGAGTGTGAAGACATATATTACCGAGTACAAGATGGCCGCCCTCGGCTTTGTGCGGTATTTTGTGTATGGTGATCTCGACGATGATGTGGAGTTGTGGCCGAAGATGACCACGTCCTATGAGGAGGTTGATGGTCCCGATCTGGGGGTGCCAGCTGAGGCCGATGGTAAGTCCCTTCTGACGTGCTTCCTTGTCGTACTTTCGTATTTTGCTTTTTAACCCTTGGTGTTTTTTTTTGTGATGCAGGTTTTGTGATGGACCGCATGTCGTTCATGAAGAGGGCCCAACTCAAAGCGGCCGAGGAGCTGAAGGCCCAACAACCTGGGGCTACTGCTGCGGCCAAGCCGCCGGTGCAGCCGAAGAAGAAGAGGCAGGCCGAAGAGGGCCAGAAGAAGTTGACGGAGGTGGGAATGAAGCCTCCCAAGAAGTCAAAGAGGGCTTCTTCTGTCGGCGATGCTGGGACGTCGGCTGTTCCTTCTGGGGACGGAGAGGGTTCTAATCCTGATGCTATGGTGGACCACCCTTCAGGCCCGTCGTCCACCACTCTTTCCACTATTCCTGCTCCCTCAACGGCCGCCCGGAAGAAAGGGTCCGGCCGAGAGCTGGTCAGAGGGACCTATAAGCTCGAGGTAGAGTACCCCGTTAAAGGGGGGCTGTTCAATGAAATCGTTGACGGCCACGAGGTGATTTCTCAGGCCATCCCTGATGAAGACCGGGCTTATCTGAAGAAGCTCGGCCACGTGAAGATGTACGATGGTGGGATGGACCACGTCGTCCAAGTGAGTAACCGTGCACGCTTCGTCTTACTTTCTTCGCCATTTTTTGTTGCAAAGTTGTCTAACTTATTTTTACTGCAGGGTGCCTTCATGTTGATGGAGAACAACAGGAGGCAACAAAAGGAGATTGCCCGTCTGAGGCAATTTGAGCAGAAGGTTGCCTCGGCCGATGAGGCGCTAGGCAGCTTAGAGAGGCTGCGTCTTGAGGTTGAGGGCCTTAAAAAGAGGGCCGACGAGGCCGACCAGTTGGCCGCTGAGAAGGAGGGGGCTCTCCAGCGATTGGCCGACGTGGAGCGTGCCCGCGACGAGGCCCTTCAGCGCGCCGAGGAGGCCGAGAAGGGCAAGGCTAGTGCAGAGTTGGCTCTCGTCGCTGCCGAGGAGAAAGCCGCTGATGCCGCTGTGCAGAAGTTTATTGAAGTCGGTTGGAAGGACGAGGGCCGGCTTCCATTCTGTTTTGAGGTCGTGGCGGCCAGACTCGTTGACTGGGTGAACCAATCCCCCGACGGCCAGGCCTATTGGGAGAAGGAGATGAAGGTCTTTTATGACCTTGGCCAATACCGGATGCAACGGTTGTTGTACAGGAGGCTGCAACGGCGTTTCATGGATATCGGTGTGTCCAAAGAGTGGGCCGTCGGCCTCGAGTTGCCTCCTTTGATGAAGCATCCTGAGGCAGAGTTGGAGCTTCCGGTGGCCGAGCGGCAGCTCCCTATTGAGAGCTCACGCATCAGCGATGACTGGGCGTATGAGCGGAGCATGTTCGAAGATACTGCCACATCGGCTGCCCCTGCCGGTACATCTGTTGTCACGGCTGAGGGGGGTCCTGAGGCCGAGAAAGACTCTGAAGCCCCTCCAGAGGTCTGATCCTTTGTAGTTTTATCTTTCTTTGTGCTATGTAACGGCCTAGAAGCCCTCCTTGTACTCAATTTATATTGAATGGAAATGTTTTCGTAGTACTTGCTGTCTGCGTCGTCGTCTCGTTTACTGTTATGTCTAAGTACTTTGGAGTTTAGGACTTATGAAAATCTACCAAGTGTCGGAACCTCGAGTGGGTGGGTGTTCTCATCGTCTTGATGTGACACCCCCTTTGCACTGTTAATCATGTGTTCTAAGAGATTTCCTAAGTGTTGAACCGACGTTGACGTTGTCAGCCCAGTGTCCTTTGTGGCCGTTGTGTCCCCTTGTTTTTGATCTGATCAGGGTGGTCGGCTTGTGTCCATGTGTTGTGGCCGGTAAGGGCGCACAGGTTGCTGTCTTTCCGGCCAGGTGGCTTGATCGGCCTGGCTGTCGTTTCTCCACTATTATAACACTTAGGATTTTTTTTCAAAAAATTCCTAAGTGTTTTGGATCCACTTAGGTGCTCTCCTTTCGGCCTTGACCGCGGTGTACGCTCCGTCCTGGCGTTGTCCCGTTCTTCTTTCTTTTGTTAGAATTTTTCTTAAGCGTCTAACTTCGAGTGGAAAAGGTGTTCCCATCGTCCTGGCGGTGGATTTCTCATTGTTGACAAATGCTTTGGGAGATTTCCCAAGTGTTTGAACCAGTGTTGTTGTCGGCCTGCATCCTTTTGTTGTGGCCGATAAGGGCACCTTCACCTTGATCTTTTGAATTTAGAGTTCTCCAAGTACACATGCATAGGTGTAAGTAGCTAACGGCCTTGGAGTATACTGGTACCCGTTTCGTCCTGGTCATCCTCAGGATTGTGATTCTTTGTTTCATACCAAGCGGTGGTGCCTCAAAGGACTATGGCCGATGAAGGTCACCTCTCGCGCGTCACCCAACCGATGCGGTTAGGGTTTTATAGGTGTTTGCTTCGGCCTTGATTATTCCCTTGTAGTGTGTGGACGTGTCGTCCATGTTACCTATCAGTGGTACTACACTTGTGTTCAACTGATATGTACTTGGCCTAGTTGGGCCTGAGTTGTGGGGATTTTATTTTTTCATTGCTCGAGGCCGGCTAGTGTGCGCGGCCGTCGGCTTCCCTCTTTTTCCCTTATAATTTTTTTTTTTCGTTTCGGGGGGTATCCTTCTTTCAGGCTTCGGCCGAAGGGTGTGCTCGTCCTTCAGCTGGTTCGGACTTCGTTCATAACGTCCGTGATCTCAGGGCGGGTCCCGTCGCCTATTTATGACGCGGGCTAGACTTTTGGTCGGTTTCCAACGGCTGTCGTTGCCCATCCCTGAGTTTTGGGATTTTGTCACCTCGGCCATGATTTCAGGCCTGTCGTCCTGCGATCTGGCGCGTGGACGACGCGGTGAGCTTCCCGTTTCAAGACGTGGGCCGTTTGTGGGCCCCTTGTCCTGGGGACATCGTCGGCCATACCTGAGCGTTTCACTTCTAGGCTTACGGAGCCAGGACGATGTGCTCTCTCAGCTAGGCCTGAGCCCTTCGCTGATACAAAATACAATGGAGTGCCTGAGCTTGTCGCTCGTAGGCTGCAAAATGCAAGGGGCCACGTCGGCCATACCTGAGCGTTTCGCTCTAAGGTGGCCGACGAGGGCACCTGCTAATGTTTTACTTTGAATTTCCAGAGAAAAAATCAGAACATGATTTTATTCATAAGTGGCTCGAGGCCGAGGGTGGCGTTCAATCAGTAACCCGTTAAGGGGTGAGGGCTTCGCCGTCTACACCTCCTTCGGATTACTGATAAAACTTCACCAGATGGTGTACATTCCATGTTCGTGGTACATTGGACCCATTCGGGCGTTTAAGCTTGTAGGTGCCGGGTTTGACCACGGCACTGACGACGTAGGGCCCTTCGTACTTCAATGCTAGCTTGCCACCCTCTGTCGGCTGGCTTGCTTCCCTTCGGCGGAGGACGTAGTCCCCCACCTGAAATTCCCGGGAACGTACCTTGGCGTCATAGTATGATTTTACTTGACGCCGGTAGTTCTCTGCTCGGACGTAAGCTTGCTCACACCTCTCATCGACCAAGTGCAGGTCAGTCTTCATGCTTTCCTCATTGGCGTCAGGCTCGTATTGTTCCACCCGTCGGTTGGGGATGGCAACTTCCGTGGACGCCTTTGCCTCGAAGCCGTAGCATAGGGCGAAAGGCGTCTCACCTGTCGCCCTCCTCGGCGTGGTTCTGTAGCACCACAGGATGTTGGGGAGCTCGTCGACCCAACTACCTCCTGCGGCATGGAGTTTCTTCTTCAGCCCCTCCATAATTGTTCTGTTGGTGTTCTCGACCTGCCCGTTGCCCTGAGGGTAGGCAACGGAGGAGAAACGATGCTTTACCCCAAACTCCCGGAGGAGTTCTTGGAAAGGGGCTGCCTCGAATTGGGTGCCGTTGTCTGATATGATCTCCTGGGGGACGCCAAAGCGTGTGATGATGTTCTTGTAAACAAATTTTTGGCATCTGGCCCCCGTGATGCTGGCCAAGGGTTCCACCTCGACCCACTTGGTGAAGTAATCGACGGCGACGATGATGTAGCGGTTATTCCCGGCGGCTCTGGGCAGGGGGCCGACCAGGTCAATCCCCCATCTGGAGAATGGAATTGCGGTGCTGACAGGGGCATAGTTGACAGCTGGCCGACCAGGGGCCTTCTGGAGTACCTGGCATGTGGTGCACTTCCTGGCCAGGTCAGCGCAGTCGCGTGCCATCGTCGGCCAGAAGAAACCCTGGACGACGAGACGCCGAGACATGCTGAAAGGGCCCTGGTGTGAGGAGCAGACGCCACAATGAACTTCTTCCATGGCTGTGTCGGCCTCGTCCTGGTGCAGGCATCGGAGGAGAGTGCCATTATAGGACCGTTTGTAGAGTTTGCCATCTTCGATGGTGTAGCTTGGGGCCCTGAGTTTGGCAAGTTTGGCCCTCTCCTCGTCCGGGGGCAGCTCCCCCGTTGTGATGAAGGTGGCGATGTCGGAGATCCAGTCCTCTGGTCGCTGTTGGACGCACAAGACGGGGCTGGCATGGATGCTGGACATGCTCAACTCCTCGATTTTGGCCAACTGGGAGATGTGCTCCGGGGTGTCCGAGCTGAGCTTGGAGAGGATGTCGGCTTCGGCGTTCTCGGCCCTGGGGATCTGAGTGATCTCGTGGGTTTCAAACGCTTTCAGCAACTCCTTCGCCGCTTGTTTATACTGCTTCATCCGGCCTTCCTTTGCTTCGTACGATCCTTCCACCTGGCCCACCACCAGTTTGGAGTCGCACTTGATTTTGAGGTGCTTGGCCTTGAGGCCGGCCGCGAGTCTGAGACCGCTTAGGAGGGCCTCATACTCGGCTTCGTTGTTGGATACCCTGAAGTTGAAGCGGATGGCATAGTAAGCTCTGAATCCTTCAGGGGATATGAGGACGACGACGCCGCCGCATGATTTCGCGGCCGACGAGCCGTCAGTAAACAGGGTCCATGTATCGTCCTGCTCCGGCCCGGGGTTGGCGACGGCCGTCTCCCTTGCTGTGCATTCGATGACGAAGTCGGCCAAGGCTTGCCCTTTGATGGATGGCCTTGGCTTGATCTCAATCTGAAACTGGCTGAGGAAGATCGCCCATTTCACCATCCTCGAGGAGCTGGTGGGGCTCCTCATGAGTGCGCCGAGAGGCTGCTGGGTCAGCACATGGACGGTGTGGGCCTGGAAATAGTGCCCCAGCTTCTTCACCGTGTGGACGATGGCCAGCACCGTCTTCTCAATGGGGGAGTACCTGAGCTCGGCCTCCCTGAGTGTCTTGCTGATGTAGAAGATGGCCTTTTGCACCCCTTCGTCCTCACGGATGAGCACGGAGCTGATGGCCGACGTGCTCACCCCTAAGTACAAGAAGAGGGTTTCGACGGCTCTGGGCTTGGAGAGCACGGGTGGGGACGACAGGTACCTTTTCAATTCGTCGAATGCCTCTTGGCACTCCGTCGTCCATTTGAAGCTGCTGGCTTTCCGCATGATCTGAAAGAAGGGGAGTGCCCTCTCGGGTGACCTGGAGAGGAACCGGTTTAAGGCCGCCAAGCGCCCCGTCAGTCGCTGTACCTCCTTGACGTTGCGGGGCGGCTCCATGTTGATGATAGCCTGCGTCTTCTCTGGGTTTATCTCGATGCCTCTCCGGCTGACCATGTAGCCGAGGAACTTGACGCCCTGGACGCCGAAGGCGCACTTCTTGGGGTTGAGCCGGAGCCTGAACTCCTTCATGATTTCAAAGATCTCCCGGAGGTCGTTGGCATGGGAGGAAGTCTGCCTGCTCTTGACGATCATGTCATCGACGTACGCCTCCATCGTCCGGCCAAGGACCGCTCTGAAGATCTTGGCCACCATCCTAGTGTAGGTGGCACCGGAGTTTTTGAGTCCGAAGGCCATGACGAGGTAGCAAAAGATTCCCTATGGGGTCATGAATGTCGTCTTCTCAGCGTCATCTTCATGCATGGAGATTTGGTGGTACCCTCTGAAAGCATCGAGGAACGACATCAACTCGCACCCCGCCGTCTCGTCCACCAGCTGATCAATGTTGGGGAGAGGGAACGGGTCCATGGGGCACGCTTTGTTCAGGTCAGTGTAATCAACACACATCCTGAATGTCGGCGGTTTCTGGGCGAGGACGACGTTGGCCAACCACGTCGGGTACTTCACCTCTTTAATGTGTCTGATTGAGAGGAGCATGGTGACCTCTCCTTTGACGAAGTCCCGCCTGTCGGCGGACAGGTAGCGCCGCTTCTGTTTGACGGGCGCGGAGGCCGGATCGACGGTCAGCCGGTGAGTGATCACCTGGCGGCTGATGCCTGGCATATCGTCCGGGCCCCATGCGAAGACAACGGCGTATGACCGTAGGACGAGGAGGATGGCGTCTCGCTGGTCCTGGGGGAGTTGCTTTCCGACCCTGAGAACTCGCTCCGGCCGGGAGGTATCCAGAGGGATTTCCTCGACTTCCTCGGCCGGCTCCGCATGTGGTCTCTCCTCGTCCATGGCGACGGTGGCCGTAATGGTGTCTATCCTCTGGCCTTCCCCCTCGACCGGCCTCGTCAGTTTGAGGTAGCATGCCCTGGCTATCCTCTGGTTCCCTCTGGCGTAGCCGATGCCGTCGTTGGTGGGGAACTTCAGGCACAAGTGCTTCATGGAGATGATGGCCTCCAAGTCCTCCAGCGCTGGCCGGCCCAAGATCAGGTTGTGGGCGCACTGGAGGTTGACCACCATGAATTCCATGTTAATCTTGGCGTGGTGGGGGCCGTCACCGACCTCCACGGGGAGGACTATCGTGCCCTCGGCGTCGATAGAGTCCCCGGTGAAGCCGGATAACGGGGTCTTGATCGGCTTCAGCAGAGCTCTGTCCAGCTTCAACTGCTTGAAGGTGTCCAGGTACATCACGTTGACGGAGCTCCCCGTATCGATGTAAGTACGGTGGATGATGGAGTCACCGATCTCACATCGGATGACGAGGGCGTCCCTGTGTGATTCCGTACCCGAGGGCAGATCCTTGTCGGTGAAGGTGATCGCCTCCGTTCGCTGCTTCTTCGGCTGGGGGGATTGAGCCCATTTCTTTCTCTGAGTGGCGGAGTCCCCCCCAGTGTTCCCACCTACGATGAGGTGGATGTGATTCTTCTTCGGCGGGGGCTCTTCGAAGTCCTCGTCGTCGCTGAGCCTACCAATCTCCCGCTTCTTCGCAGAGGGTTCGCCCCCATGTTTGCCGGTGTTTACCCAAGTGTTCTTGCGTGGGCCACCTTTGACAAACTGGGAGAGTTCCCCCTGGCGAATAAGGCGCTCGATGGCCTTCTTCAGTGTGATGCAATCGTCGGTGTTGTGCGACGAGTTCTTGTGGAACCGGCAGTACGTGACGCCCTGCTGGATGGCAAGGATCTCCTCGGCCGGCCGAGGAGCCTGCTCGATGAGGCCGTGCTTCTCGGCATAATCGAGGATTGTGCCGACCGGGTGGGTGAGGGTTACCCTCGGCCGTTCCAACCTCGGCCGCCAGTGGCGGTCTTTCTTACTCTGTCCACCAGAGCCGTGACGGCCCTGGGCACCCTGGCCAGCCGGGGACGGACCCGGGGCCGGCGAAGGATTTGTCTTCTTGGGGGATGGCCCCCCTCCCTCTTGTGATTGTGGAGCTCGTCGGCGTCGGCATACAAGCCTCCACGCTGGAGCGCTTTGGCGTACGACCTCGGGGGGTCGGTGATGAGGCTCCTAGCGTACGGGGAGCTGCGGAGGGCTCCCTGGTACAAGGCGAGGAGGGTGCGCTCATCGGCCCCCTCGACCTCCTCGGTCTCCCTCGTCCACCGGTCGATGAATGACCGGAGGGACTCCTCGTGTTGCTGCTTGACAGAGAGGAGGTGGGTGAAATACTTCTTCACGCGCTTCCTCCCGGCAAAGTGAGTGAGGAAGCGCTGGGCGAGATCCTGCCATGAGTCGATGCTTCCTTCTGGGAGCCCGTTGAACCACTCGTACGCTGGCCCCTCAAGAGTAGAGAGGAACCACCGGCAGAGGTATTCGTCGGACGCGTTCACCATCAGCATGTTGTTCTGGTAACGGCTGAAGTGCTCCTGGGGGTCTAATCGGCCATCGTAGGACTTGATGGCGTTCCCCCTGTACTTCTCAGGGATGGGGGCCGAGAGGACCCTGTTGGTGAAAGGGGTCCTGGTCCTGACCTGGATGATGGGGTCACCTCGCCCTTCGGCCAGCTCCCTCTCCAGGGCGCTGACTTTGTTCATGAGCGCGTTGAGGCCGGGGTCGTTGGAGGCGCCGGCCGTAGGGATGTTGGCCGACTGCTTGGCCTCCATCTGAGCCAGCCTCTATTCCAGTTGGGCGATGACCTCGTCCCGGGGGTCCCTGTCTGCCGCAGCGGCGCCCGGCTGGTTTCTCAGGCGCTCGTTGTGAGCCGCGTTGATCTGGTGACGCATGTCATCCTCGTGTAACTTCCCCTTGCCCTTGTCCGGGCGGGGCTGGTCCGCTGTCCGGGACAAAGACCCCAAGCTTTCCCTTGGCGAGCCAGGACGAGGATCGCCAATCCGTCCCGCCATCCTCTCCGAAACCGGACGACAGCGCGTGTCACCTAGCCTATTGAAGGCAGAGGCTTTTCCACGCGCTGGGGTCTGCCCAGGCCGAAGAGGGGAAGTAGGGTGGGAGTGGGACGACGTCGTGTCCTGGGGCACCACCCCCTCATCGTTGCCTATCTGGACGGCCAACGGTTGGTGCTGAGGAGGTTGAGTGACGTTCCCCCCAGTCCTTGGTAAGAGTGCGCTGAGGACGGTGGGGTTCTGAGCTAGGCTGGCGATGATGACCGACAGCGCGGCCTGGACCTTTGGATCCACGGACGGAGAGGCCGCGGTAATAGGCTGGGCTGGGGCGTGGTTCGTCTTCTCAGCTCGTTTCTTTTCCAGGCCGAGGCGGGCGTCGGGGACTCCGCCGTTGAGTTGGTTGCGGAGGTCCGTCGTGAGGTTGAAGGCCTCCTGGAAGAGGTCCCCTCCGCCGACCTGGTCGGCCGTGGCGTCCTCATCGTGCTCCCTGGGCTCTTGGTCCTCAGGGATGGCTTTGCTGACGAGGTTGCGGTTTGACTTAGTTCTCCCCATGATCAGTGGTTAGCTGTGCTTGGTAGCGACGAAGGGTGCTAACTTGATTGTTCTAGCTCTCAACGAGAGCACCAAATGATAGAGTATATCTCTAGAGAGAAGTGAGAGCTAGAGAGAGAAGTAGTATATTTGCTTGATGTTAATGAATTCTGAACCCCTACAACTACTCCCAAGGGGAGTATTTATAGAGAAAATACGGGCTGGGCTCCCAAGCCTTGGGCTTGGGAGGCCCATATACAACTGGACCGCTACTGGGCCGAATACAAAGCCACTAATGGGCTGTACAAATGAATAAGTATAAAATCCGGTTCTGTGAGGTCTTCATGGCCGACGAGGGCGTGGCCGACGAGGGCACGGCCGACGGGGGCGCGGCCGACGAGGGCACCCGGGTTCCTTGGCTTCAGGACCATAATCTGAGTTGGCACCTTCTCGGTCGACGGGGGCGTCTTCGGCCGACGAGGGCGCCACTCTGTGTCTTGTGCTTTCTGTTCTTTCGAGTATGTGGGTCCAGGGGCTAAGACCCATATATTCCATCACCGATACTAGTATAACAATACTAGTAGAGTCAAAAGCATTCCCAACTGCAAACATTTCATAAAATAAATTCACAGCAGCCTCAAAGAGATTATTCTAGATGCAAGAAGTCATGATGGCATTCCATAAAACCACATCGTGGTGAAGAACTTCACAAAATAACACACTATAATTATAATACATTAAAAATCTATAAAAGTAATGATCAGTAAAACTTACCTGAAGGAGAGCAGAGAGCTGGAGGCGCGAGACGACAGGAATGCAGCTTGTGCAGGACCGCAGGAGGGTTCGCGCTGGAGGGCCCTGAGTTCGCGTTGGAAAGCACAGAGCGGCAAAACGGCAGAACAGCCGGCCGCCACCGATGCAGGGCCCTGGAGGCTGGACGGCGATGTGGACGGTTGAAGAAGGGTTCGCCCTAGCCGCTTGAGCGCTTCACCTTCTTCCGCTTCGAATTTTCTTCTTCGCGCACTTGGAGCTTCAGCTTGTTTAGTTATGCGTATTTGGGTAAGGGGTGGGCTACTCGGTTGGGCTGTAGGTTGGGCTGGGAGTTAATTTTTAGATTTCGTTTTTTTTGCGTCGACACACGTTGACACAGATATAACTAAACACTTTTAGCATCGACAAACCGACACAAATAATGGAATTCTACAAGGCGGATGGAGCGATTTTAATTACTGTCATTTGCGTCCACTTGTCAACTCAAAAGAGTAGTTATTTGCGTTCACTATAGTCGACACAAAAAAGTTTGACGCAAATAATACTTTTTCTTGTGGTGATTGGTAACAACTTCTCACGAATAAAAATACATACTAGGTAATTAGGTTACGGCGGGGTGAATCCGCCCCGCATGGGGCGGGTCATGGGTCAACAAGTTTGGACCTGTGCTGGTCACGAGGCGGGACATACCTGCCCCGTCAAGTCATCCAGTGGGTCTGGGACTTGCAGGTGATCTGGCCAAATTATGTCTAGTCATTACTTTCTTTTTTTGAACAATGTAACCGTTCAGTTATTCACTTATTGCCCACCCAAAGGGCGGGTTTTATAATCAATGTTGGAGCAGAATTACCAAAGCTCATTTGAATGGATTTATCAAAAAGAAAATGTAAAAGAAGAAAATGTAAAAGATTGTTAAAGTTGCTTAAGGAAAGAGTTTTTGCCACTTTTAGTCCCCGACTATTGTGTCAGTGACATTTTTGGTACTCGACTTTTAATTTTTCCACTTTTAATCCTCGACTATTGTGTGAGAGACACTTTTGGTATCCGTCTTTGAAAATCTCCATATTTAGTCCTTGGACTTTTGTAGAAGTGACACTTTTGGTCCTTCAACTATTACAATAGAGACATTTTTAGTCCTCCACTTATTGTGTCAAAATCATAGTAGAAGGACTAAAAATGTCAATTTGATAATACTCAAAGGACTAAATGTGGGAAACTTGAAAGTAGAGGACTAAAAGTATCTCACGAACAATAGTCAAGGACTAAAAATTAAAAAATTAAAAGCCGTCTACCAAAATTGTCACTGACACAATACTCGGGGGACCAAAAGTGGCAAAAACTCTTTAAGGAAACATCCCCACATTAATGGTATATCTTGGGAATCGCCAGAGACATCTCCGGCAATTGTCCTCCCAAAGTGCGCACATTCGGTGCCTTATTTTTTCTTAAACATACCAATAATTTTTACATCAATTAATGGGTTAATTATCAAATAGGACTAAAAGTCACTCACTTTACACAAATAGGACCAAAACATAAACTATGTTTTCATAGGACTAATTATGTGTGTCTTGTACAAATATACCCTTATAGCTATTGAAATGTTTTAATTCATAATAAAATAACAAAAAATGATAAAAAATTTGTAAAAAATACTAAAAAATTAATAAAAGTATTTCGATAATATTAATTAATTTATTTAATTATTTTCAAAAAATTAAAAAAATTAAAAAAAATAAAAAGCTAAAAAAAAAAAATCACCGCCGCCTCTGCACCACCACCTCCAGTCACCAGAGAAAAAAATGTCAAGTTCATTACGAATGCCATATTTATGGCAGAAAACAATGAAAATGTTGGCATTCTCAAAGAGAAATATGCCATGTTTTTGGCATTTTCAGAAAAAAATCATAGTTTTTAGGAAAAATGACATTTTTTTCACCGCCCGGAGATGGTGGTGCAGGGAGGTAGTACAGGCGGTGGGAAAGGCATCCATATTTTTTTAATTTTTTTTATGGAGTTTTACTATTTTTTATTAATTTTTTAAAAAAAATAAAAAAATAAATTTTTTATTTTATTTTGTAGTTTATAAATATTTTATAAATTTTTTAATTATTTTTCTACGAATTTTTGAATTTTTTTCGAATTTATTATGAATTAAACATTTAATTAACTCATATTTAAAGGAAGGGTAAGAATCGAATGAAAAAATAGGTATGTTTCCAATAGGACTAATTTGGTCCTATTTTGAAAAGAAAAACAAGTAAGTCCTATTTTGAGTTTTTGCCATATATAGTTTTAGTCCTATTTGGAGTAATTTCTATTAATTAATTATCCAAAGTGCTACATTGTTCCCAACCAAAACCTCTCTCCAATTTTTTGTTAGTATATAAATCTCTATCTTTATATAATATAATAATGGTGACAACTCCGGTACCCATTTAAAAAATGGGGTACCGTACCTACCACTCAGCTGATTGGTTCAAATCATTACATCATTTTTAATTTAGATTTAAATAATTCAACTACATCATTCCGATTGGTCCATGTGGACAAAGGTATGATACTTTAAAGGTATCATAGAATCTACCTATAATAATTATCCAAAGTGCTACATTGTTCCCAACCAAAACCTCTCTCCAATTTTTTGTTAGTATATAAATCTCTATCTTTATATAATATAAAAGAATTGGGTGGACAAATGGATTTCTCCAATTATTCCCGCATATTCTGCGTTGAATCATTCTTCAAGTCATAACATTAAATTAAGTTATTTATTATATATGGTAAACAATGCATACAAAATGAGATGCTTGAATGTGAGATGTTTGACCAACGCATGAGACACAAATGATCGAGGTACAATAACTTTTTTACCAAAATTTAGCTACAATAAGTTTGTATATCAATTTTATAATAATATAATAAATTATAATGAAGACATGTGTTTTATGTAGACCTGTACAAAAACAGGTTCGGGTCAGGCTCGGGCCGGGCTTTTTATAAAATTTCTGCTCATCATGTGTGGCGGGTCTGGCCCGGCCCGCTAAAACGGGCCTAACCCCATGTCCATACTCGCCCGTAAGAGCGGGCCTGGTAGTCCACTGGGTTGCTCGGCCCGGGAAAAGATTAATTTTTTTTCAAAATTATACGATTTTTTTAATACTTTAAAAATATTATTACAACATTTAAAAAATTGTTAATATACTTATAATGTTTGTAGGTCTTTCACCACATGCAAAAAAAAACTTACACAAACATAATAATGAGAAACAATATCTAAAATTTAAAATTTAAGAACAAGAATTATCTTTAAGTACAAAAATAGATATTATATTGGTTGGTCTAGTTGTTCAAAACTAAAAATTTAAATTTAGACATAATAAACTATAAATATGTATAAAGAAAAATTAATAAATAAAATATACATGTGTATATGTAATAAATAAATAAATAAATTAGTATACATATAAATATATATTTATATATACTAAATGTAGCGGGCCGGGCTTTTTGGCCCGAACGGGCCTACAACACAACCCAAGCCCGCCCATATCTTATTGCGGGTCGGACCAGGCCCAGCCCGGTGGGTAAATACATATGTCCAAACCCTCCCATTTGTGTGGGCGGGGTGGGCGGGCCGGCCCGGTTTTGTACAGGTCTAGTTTTATGGACCATATATATTATCTTATCACATGTATGCGATCACAAGGGTAAATACACATAAAATTTGAACAAATTAAGGAGTCCATTATCAACGCCCATAATTACGTGAATCCAATTACAATTCTAAAAAATTATTCAAATTTGTAATTACGTACATCGAATACCTCATCTTTACAATTTATAGATTCAATGGATATGAAAAAGTAGCCCGAATTTACAAAGATTAAATTGATAAAAATGTAGATAAAAGAATAAAATAGAAAAGTAAAAATTAGTTTCTTTAATTTAAAAAAAACATATTTTTTCAGTCTAAAAAGAATTATTTCTCTTGTAAAATAAAACTCATTGAGTAACCAATTTATATTAAAAATATACTAGGGTGAGCACATCGGTTTCAATTCGGTTTTAATATCAATTCGATTCGGTTTGAAACACATTGGAATCATACTATGTTTTAGTTTAGTTCGGATTATTTCAGTTCGTTTTGGTTTGAATTTGTTATGTTTAAAGACATATTAAGAATTTATTGACTATTTGAGTTCACATCGACCTTATCCGATTTCTCATGGTGTCAATTTTGTTTTAGTTTGATTTAATTTGATTTGAAAGACATACCACTGAATTCAAATGAAATTGCGTATGATTTGATTTCGGTTCAATTTGGTACAATTTGATTTACTCAAACCAAACCGGTTTGCTAACCCCCTAAAAAAACATCCATGAAAGGTGATTCTCTCATAAGTGGCATCCATTGAAGTCAAGTGAAGTAGTACTTATTCATAAGATTCCATTAAGTAACATTGCAATTGACATAATCGGTAAATTTTCTAATTATGAAATTCCGACTGAACTGGTTAAATTATCTAATTCTGCTAAATTATAGAAAAATCATACTTTGTATTTAAAATATATTTAATTAATGGAATAAAAAATTAGATGAAAATTAATGTAAGTTTTTCTTAACCTTTTTCTTTATATATCTAATTTTTATCAAATTTGAGTTTTTTGCGACTTTACAAGACTTGTAATGTGATTTTTGAATATGTAAATTTTATTTACTAAAAATTATTTTATTATTAACAAGGATCACTTAAGTTTATGACCTGTCAAATATCGTAAACTCAATTGGGACCTTTATCCGGACCGCATGTTGTATACAATATTCTTTCAATCTCTTTTTTTATTTGAGTAATGTGAGTTGATTTTTCCCGTGCAATGCACGAGTTCATTGTCTAGTAAATACACACACAAATGTTCCTGTCAGGTATACCGGATCGGAACCGTCGTCCGGCCACCATGTTTTGAGGTGTTTTTCGGTGGAATTTTTTGATGAAATATTTTGAGCATGTTCTTCATCAATTCTAGTTTATTCATACCAAATTTCTGCTTAAAATTCAATAAAAAAGGCGTCAAATAAATTTTTGAAGTTAACTGCGCATAAATATGTATATCTTCAAATTTATTTTTGATAGAGCAGTAATTTTTTAATCATCAACGATAGGCTCAATAACAGTAAGCAAATGAGTTATCCACTGTCTAATTTTTTTAAGGACATTCTAAAATGGACAATTCATCAAGGGAGGGAAGCAAAAGTATATGAGAGCTGCTTGGCAGCATTTCTAGTCATTCTTGGTGACTCTGGAATTAGCTGAGCAGGTTGCTTCTTCCTTCTTCTTGTCACTGTAATGAAACCTTCATCATAGAGGTTTGTGTCAGTCCCTGTTTTAGCTTTTTAAAATTGTTTTGCATGTCTAGCCCTGTTTATAACTGATGCAACCTTTCTGGATAATGCAGATTGTCCCTCCTTCCATTTCGCAACACTATCCAGGAAACAAAAATCCCCATCAGAAGAATAACCCTTTGCTGAAAAGGATGGATCATAAGAGTTTCTCTGAATTAGCTTAAGAAGTTTGTAATCATCAACTCTATTTTCTCCATGATATATCTGAATTGGCATTTCTTCACCAGAGTGATGTATTACTAACTCTTGAGTATTTTGATTTGATGTAGGAGGTGGCTCCTCTGTGTATACTTCCTCCACCTCAGAGTCAGAGTCTAGGAGATCAAATTGATTGCCTGAGGGTCCTTGTGAGGATGGTGGCATACAAATGACTTGAGAGATTTTAGTCTTCCCTTTGTCAATTCCAGAAATATTCACCTGACCCCCATCAGGAATAGGCAGCAAAGGATGATCCCCTTTAGTAATAGAAAGCATTGCAGGCTGTTTCTTTGAGTCCCCATTTGTAATAGAAAGCTTTGCAGCCTGCTGGTTAGAATCCCCTTGTGTAATAGTTAATTTAGGTGCTTTCTTTTTGTTTGCTTGGTTTTTGGGTTTAACAACCCACTTTTCCTTGGTCAAATTTGCAGCCTTCTCATTCGTCCCTGCTTTCTTTGGGCAAGAAGAATCTGAGTGCCCAAGAATCGTAAACACATTTTGTGTAAACCCTTTAGTTCTGCATTGAATCCAAATTCTGGTAGGCATCTCTTTTGAAACATCAAGTTCAACCCATATCCTGGCCAAAGATGGCCTGGCAAGCGTCGCAGTAGCAATATCAAACTTTAAAGGCTTCCCAATATCAAAAAGAGCCCTTCTATCATGGAGATAGATGGGTAACCCTTCAAGAGTTAACCAGACCGGAACCACCGAAGATTCGACGTTAGAATGAAACTTTGTGTTCAATTGGTAACCCGCATATTGCTGCCAAAAATATTCCAAACTTGTTCATTCCATCACCAAATGTAGTCTTCTTCAAATTCAAATCGAATTAGTAAATGTTTCGGATCACCGAATTTGTTGTTTCATAAAAGTGTTAGTGGGCAATCCATGAAAGTCGATTAAAATTCATGTAATGCAATGACGTACAATTTCATAGTATTCCGCTGCATCATAGTACAATATTATATGTGGAACTCTATTAGAATAAATAAATTCTGTACGATAGTGTATCATTCTTTAAATTTCTATTTCCCATTAGTATACACTGTGGTTCAATAAAAAAACATTTGTTTAGATCATCTTTGTTATTCAAAATACATGATGAATAAAGTTAATGTGTTAATAGAAACTAATTTTTAGTGAGTATGCTAACGAGTGGAGTAAGATGGTGTGATAAATGACGGGGATTCTTTTATTATTAAAAGATCGGAGAAACATTATCGGTCGTTGGACCCACATGTTCCATGGTGATTATGTTAACGTGTTTACTGGTAAAAGTGCTCAAATTATTTAATTATCAAAATTATTATTCAATGATTGAGTCCTTTAATATTGGTTTATTATCATAGTCTATATAATAATGTACAAGTAGAAGTCGACAAATTAAAGGCCGGCAACCTTTTACCAACTATTCATGTTGGATGTATGAATCGAGTAATATAGACATTATTATTTAATCAACTACCATTTTAAAAAATAAATAAAATCATAAGATTAAATCTTAAAAAAATAAGTCTCTCTCAAAAAAGCATAAAAATTAGTCAAATATTGTGAGTGACCGGTGATCAACGTGCGCATTCCCCCTCTAAATATCAATCATATGTGTGGCCATATAACATCCCTGAATCATATCACTCTCACCTCAAAAGATGCAATGTGTTATTTGTAACACCAATCAGATATATGTGGCTATTACAACAACACTAGCCCGGCCATGAGGTACGCAGTTGATGAAGTTATTCTCCTAGATTCAATCTCCGTCTGTGCCCTTACATTATTGCATTTAAATCATATCCTTCTTTTGGAAACTTAATCTTGTTTCGTTTCCTTGATACGATGTCGGTATCTGGTATGTTCTTTTTATTTCTTTGATGGGTGTAAAAAGAAACAACCCTTATGTGATTTGTGCTTTGTACGTTACATGTTTCCATGACAACAGATTATTTCACACACTAGTAGTTTTTATTAGATTGCCATGCTTGTTTTTTAATTATTGATGTTCCATGTATTATAGCTTTAAATCGATGAAAATAGTTATGGCTTTAATAATTGCAATGACAGGTAAACAGTTAGGTAATCTCGGGTGATATGTTGGAATACGCTGCAGATAGTTTTTGAAAGAGTAACTTGGTAAATTTTGGATCAAAAAGTATGGCGTTAGGTAAATACTCTAGGATTGATGATAAGAAAGCGTCTTCTTCTCATTGTTCAAAGGCAACTATAGCGGTTGTGATAGCCCTTTGTGTGTTTGGGGTGTGGATGATGACATCATCATCTGTTGTTCCTTCTGACGGTGTGTCCTCTCAGGAGAGATACGGTGAATCTAAGACACAAGTGAGTGAGGGTAATGGGAACAGTTCAACTAATGAAGAAAAAACAAAACCTTTTGAGGACAATCCGAGTAATTTACTTGTTGATGAGGCCAATAAGGATGCTACTTTTCAACAAGAAAAGGTCACAAATGTCCAAGATGCAACAACCACGCGAGAAAACCCAAATGAGATAGTAGAGAAACCTGAAGGTGAATCTAAGGGACTGTCAGATAATGTGGAAGAGAAGAGGGGAAATGAAGCATTAAACCAAAGGGATAAAGAGTCTGAAGAAGAAAGAGAGAAAATTGAAGGTGAGTCCAAGGGTGTGCCTGAAAATGTGGAGAAAGTTGAAGGTGAATCGAAGGGTGTGCCGAATAATGTGGAGAAAACTGAAGATGAATTTAATGGTGTGCAAGATAATGTGGAGAAAACTGAAGGTACGACGAAGGGTGTATCGGATAATGTGGAACAGAAGAAGGAAAGTGAAGCATTGAAGGGAGGGGATAAAGATTCTGAAGAATTAGGAGAAAAATCTGAAAATAAATTTGTCGAAAATGATGTTGAGTTAAAGCCAGAAGAAGCTTCTACTCATAATACAAAAGGTGGCGATGATAAGGAAAATGGTATAATAGAAGAGAAGGTCACGTATAAAGAAGATCCGGGTAGTTCTAATGAGAATCAAGATAAGATTTCTCCTAATCAGTCTCCACTCCCATCAGATGTACCAAAAATAAAAGAAGCGTCTAGTAGGGAGTCTTTGAATGAAAATCTTGATGAGAAAAAAGATTATGTGAGTAATGTGCTTCCTTCAGCAGATCAATCTGAACTTCTAAATGAAACCAAAACACAAAATGGAGCATTTTCAACTCAGGCAGCAGAGTCAAAGAATGAAAAATTAGCAGAGACGTCTTTTGATTTGGCTAATGGAAAAGGGTACACATGGAAACTATGCAATGTCACAGCTGGACCTGATTTCATTCCTTGCCTTGATAATCTAGAAGCCATTAAGAACCTCAAGAGTACAATGCATTATGAACATAGGGAGAGACATTGTCCAAACAATCCTCCCTCCTGTCTCGTTCCTCTCCCCGAAGGATATCAACGCCCAATTAAGTGGCCCACAAGTAGGGAAAAGGTAATATATTTATATACACTTCTCCTTTTAAAGCAAGATTAGCTTTCACATTATCATTGATTCTTATTAGGATTTGAGTTCCATACATCAAAGGCATGTAAAACGAATGACCCGCAATGACTCACCCTGCCCCGAGACATGTGGGGTGGGTCCTCCATCTCCGCCTGGAAAATGGGGTGAGTCTGCCCCGCCCCGTGCACATAATGGGGCAAGTCTGGGTATTAGAATTGACCTGTGTCGACCCGCCCCACCCCGTCCAATATATAATATATAAGTATACATAATATACATAATTTGTTTAAAGTTACATTACGAATATACATATACATGCATAATAAATCATAAATTTCTTGGTCAAGTAATATGTTAGTATTTATATTTGAGCAAGATGAACCATTAATTGTTAATGTAGTTTTATAATTAGCATTTTATATATTCATTTATAAATATAAATAGATTGACGTACCATTCAAGTCTACATACTTTTTCTTAATTTTTGACACATTGTTTTGTATTGTGACTCTCTTTTATTATAATAGTGTTTTCTAATTATTTGGAGGTGAACTTTATGTAAATTTAAGGTATAACGACTTCACGCGGATTGAGATGCATACTAGCTATTTAGATTTTGGTGGGGAAGGGGGACCCACCTCACATGAGGCGGGTCATAGACCAACTTATAATGATCCATGCGGGGTCACGAGGCGGGTGGGTCCATTTTATAAAGTCACGGGTCTGGGTCTTTCATACCTGTACCGACCCATTAACATGCCAAATACTTCCATCTTTAGGGAATGATTTGATAGGAAAAGTAGTCTAATATTTACACATTATTTGTCATACCGTTAGACGCTCATCAGGGTCAAGCATCTCATTTTCTTGTGTTTGGTTTTCATAACGGCGTCCTCCTTACATAGCGCTCATGATCGATAAAGGTCAAATTAGTTCTAATATCGTATTAAGTCAATGAGACTTGATTTAAATTTTAAAAGCCTAGACCAATAGTAGGAATAACACCATATGATATATGTTGGTTGGTTAGTTATGCTCTTTAACGACTTTGATGTTTGAGTTTTTGTCCTCCTATAGATATGGTACCACAATGTTCCACACACCAAGCTTGCAGCATATAAGGGACATCAAAATTGGGTGAAAGCTAATGGTGAATACCTTACCTTTCCGGGTGGTGGAACTCAGTTTGTTCATGGTGCTCTTCATTATATTGACTTTATCCAGCAGGTTAGGACCAACTATTGTTCTTAATTCTATATTTAGCTCGTCTAGATTTTGGTTAGAGGTTGGATGTTGGAAGTCGAGTGAGAGGTGGCTTCAAGTAACTCTTGGCTTTCTTCCATTTCGATATAAGAATGATCAGGTCCACAATTTATAAATGAAAATGGTAAGAGAAAATTATAAATCCTACATTGCTACTCACATGAAAAGTTGAAATTGGAATCACATTGTGTCAAGTTCTTCGTGTTCCCAACTAAGACATACTCTCGTTGTCTCGAAGTATGCCCATTTCAATTTTCTTGTGATTTTAATGAAAACAGATAAGATGTGATGTATTTTACCAAAAAGGGCATATCCAAATCAATTTTAAAATATTGAAGGTAATAAATAGGAGTTGAACAGAGTAAATAGCGGTTTTCATAGTTGTCATTGGCCCAATTGGTGCGCGCCATAATGCTGATCATATGAAGAGCCCTCATCACAAAAAAGGGTCTTGGTCATAAGTGTTTATGTGGTGGCATCATACATGTTTCTTGATACTTTCCCCATTGCAACGCCATGTGGGCCATTTGTGGGATTTGCCTTTGATTACCAGTTAACGAGGTATGTCACCTATAATATAAGTAAATACCCTACTAGCCAAAATATATTGAGACCAACTAACATAAATTCAGACCCATACAAACTGCACAATTATAAAAGTATGGCTTCATTAAAGGAGACAAACCTCAAGAAACTCTAGGTTTGACGTCTGCATAGACTTCAAAATAAACTTTAGAACAAACTTCAAAATACTTTGTACCTACTTGCCTTGCAAGTATTATAACTCAACGTTGTAGAAAATCTTAGTTGTAGATTGTGGTTATTTTGATTTGGATATTAAATTACTTTTGGAACCACTTTAAACTCTTTAAACTTCATAAATTTGGGTTAGAATGTAGTTATTCAACTCTTTAGCTTATATTTTGGTGGTTGAATTATAAATTTATAGTGTCTATATTTCATATTTGTAGTACTTGTTTTTTTATGTCATGTTGTGATGCAAAGTGTCATCCCCAAGGGAAAATCCCCCAATCCATGATATAAGCCTCGACAACTATGGTGGTGTTTAAAAAATGAAAGTAGTTAATATTTTAGAATGGCCTAAAAAGTAAAGTTCAACAAATAAGTTGTTACTCCCTCTATTCTGTTACCTCTCTCACAAATTCCTTTCTTGTCTATTTCGCTTTGCTGATCTCATATCATATTTGATAACATTTGTGTGATTTTAATTCATTGTTACTTTTGTCTTACTTTACCAATTAGATTAGTGCTTTGTCATATCCTAGCCTAAGTGGGACGAAAATAATTCTATGTATGTGTATGTTCTGCTTTGGTTCATCTCCATTCTTGCTCCAAAATATAGTTACTCACTTCTTACTTATCGGAATGCTTATAATAATATGATTTGTAGTCTGTGCCTGACATTGCCTGGGGGAAACGAACACGTGTTGTATTAGATGTCGGGTGTGGCGTTGCCAGTTTCGGAGGCTACCTTTTTGACAGAGATGTATTAACAATGTCACTTGCTCCTAAAGATGAACATGAAGCTCAGGTGCAGTTTGCACTGGAAAGGGGCATTCCTGCTATCTCTGCTGTCATGGGTACAAAGCGACTTCCCTTCCCTGGTAGAGTCTTTGATGTTGTCCATTGTGCACGATGTAGGGTACCATGGCATATTGAAGGTATTTCATTTTCTGCTACATTTGTTCTCTTTAACTGTCATTTTAGGTGTATGGACACGCATTCAAAAAGTAATTACTCCCTCTGTCCCGCTAAGATCGTTTCATCATTCCTTTTTAATATGTCCAACTAAGATTATTACATACCAAATTTGGTGATGTTTATGTGGTTCTAGATCATTTTTACTTTATTCTTACTTAACAATTAAATATCAACCACATTAATTCACTTTTCTTAATAACTGCATCACTTCTTCTTGCATCAATTAAAAATGCTTCAACAATATTTTTATCAATATTTAATAACAAATTACTACTCCCTCCATCCAATTTTACATGTATTACTTTCCTTATTGAGTTGTATAAAAAATAAGAGTCACATTTTCTTTTTTGGAAAGAAATATACAATATGGTCCGCAACATTTAACTTTATTATACTCAAATCTCAACCACAATTTTTACTTTTCAACCACTTTATTAATAATCAACCATACCTTTTCTACCTATTATAGTGTCACATTTGCTTTTTCAAATTTCAACAACTTTATTAATTAAGACACATAAAATGGGACAGATGTAGTATATAACATTAATGGATAATGGTAGTGAGTAAGAAGTTAATGCTCTTTTGATATTACAAGTGTCCGTGTGGAACCTCAAATTTACTATCAACAGAAAATAGGTACAAAAGGTAAGAAATTGCTAGGGAAAATCAAAGATAAGTTAGGACTCAATACATTTTCCTAGTTATATAATTCTTGATATCATTTAAAAGAAAAAGTTTCCAATAGAAGTAAAATAATGTGAAATTCCAAAAAAAATGTTTTTTAACAAGAAACCAAATTTTATTAAAAAGAATGAAAGCAATACATGCACTAATGAAAGAAGAATAGTGAATCAATAATGAATAAACCAAGCTAGAGAACGCAAATTATGGCAAAGATTAAACTTTCAAGCGCAATTGTGACCTAGTTTGCATGCAGGAAGCTTGAGTAGTCAATTTTTTCTTGTTACGCCGAGAAATAACTGGAGTGAAAGAACCTTCTTCAGTGACCTCAGTTACACCATTTTGTTCAGCTAAAGCCGGAGAAGCAACTGAAGCCGCAAATGAAGAAAGAGCAACACTTTGAGCCGAAGTCTGAGATTTCATCCTTTTGTCTAAACTCATTTGATCTACCTTGAATTGAGTGATAAGATCTTGAAGAGAAGGATATGAGATAATAGTCGGTTTAGAGTTCTTAACCACAACCTTTCGCTTGGGAAAAACATTTTCATTCTCTTTCAAGTTCTTCTTGGAGCAAGAACTTACTTCCCTCGATGCATTAGAAGAAGAAATCAAATCAGTCGATGGAGACATATCCAGAGTGATCGTCGAAGGAGAAAAACCTTGAATAACAGCCTTTTGTGAACAATTATATTTTTCCTGTTGCCTACCACTGTGAGAGGCCTCCTCGTGTGAAGAATCCATAATGCCCTCGATATTCACATTAAGAGGCATAACTTCTAGGTTTTCTCCTGAATTCAAATCCGCATATGTCCCTACTATGCTTGCCTCAAGAGAGATCTTGGCTTGGGTAAAGTGCTCAATGTCATTTTGAAACAAAATGCTAGATATAGAGATGTCATTTTGTTTGAATGGCCCTAAACCCCCATCTAAAGCCAACAGTTCTTCATTTTGTTGAGTCATTTTCATCAACTCATTTTTCCTCATCAAATTAATGGCTCTTGAGATACCTGTCAAAAAAACTCTAATTCCAAATCCATTTCGACCCTCAGGTATAAAGATAGAGTCATGACCTTTTTCATGTAATATGTTTTTTCCTAAATACGAATAAACTAAAGTTATTCTCAAATCACACTGCCATATTTTGCATTAACAAGCATTAATATGACAATACTAATGCCATAATGGACAATATTTTCCACACATGACACTAACTACTCCTTTTTAGGTAAAAAGATAGTACTCCCATTTTTGGAATTTCACATTACTTTTATTCCTCAGTAGGGTAATTTATGTAAAAAAACATCAAATGCCGTTTTCCTTTGAATTTTTCAATGTAAAACCAAATTTAAGAAATTAACTTTTATTAACAATCTTTTTTAGTTTTTCTTTTCCTAGCATTCCCCCCGGATACAAACTTACCCTCAAGTGGTTGATGTTTGATAACAATTCGTCTCTCTCTAAAACTCCAAATAAAGGAGCCTAAAGGGGTGTTTTCGACACCTTTGTTCCTTTTAAAATTTCATGCCTAAATAAATGTGATACTAACTTTGCTTATCTTACACATTACAAGCACACTTTGTAAAGATAAACATAATTATCTCTTAGTGTTTGTCGTATGCACTATGTTAAATTCATGAACATCGTAAGCTTTAAGTTTTCTTCAAGAATAGCTTTTTTACGTCCTAAAATTAGTTGGTGTTATATATGTATAGACGGGAAGCTTCTCCTAGAATTGAATCGCCTGCTCCGTCCTGGTGGTTTCTTTGTGTGGTCTGCTACCCCAGTCTATAGGAAAGTTCCAGAGGATGTTGCAATTTGGGAAGGTAAGCAAGGATGAATCCGCTAGTGAATTTATAGAAATAATTAATATATTGTCCGATTGATGATGATGATGATGATGAGGGAAAACATTCAACATATGAATAAACAGAATGTAAATTCCAAAATAGGAGCATAGTGTTTTTCCCTTAATAGGAGTAACTTACTCCTATTTTGAAAATTCACTGTCCTATTTTGGAAACTGGTTGTAATATGGTAGTATTACTGCTATTATTGATATTATTATGGTAGTATTACTGCTATAATTGACCTTATTTCCCAAGAGTGTCAGTAATTAATCATATTTAAAGATTTGAAATATAGTGCTTCTATGTTGGACTTTCAATTTCTTACTGCTATGCAGGGCAATTTCTTTATAAATAATAGCTAGAACTGAGTATTTTTCTATATTCGGAATACTGGCATGCAGCGATGACGAATCTTACCAAGTCAATGTGTTGGGACTTAGTTTCAATTACCAAGGACAAAGTTGATAATATAGGCATCGCTATGTACAGAAAGCCTACTTCCAATGAGTGCTATGAACATAGATCACAAGCTGAGCCTCCACTCTGTCAAGAATCTGATGATCCTGATGCATCCTGGTACTTAAACAATAGTTATACTATCATTGAATTTGGCAACACTCCTATTGAGAGAATATCTGAATATGTGGTGCATTATTTTTAAAGCTCACATAAAGCAACTTTTTCAAATATAGGAATGTGCCTTTACAAGCTTGCATGCACAAAGTGCCCATGGGTCCACTAGAACGGGGGTCTAGGTGGCCAGACGTGTGGCCTGGTAGGTTGGCACAATCTCCTTATTGGTTACAGAATTCCCGGATAGGGGTGTATGGGAAACCAGCACCTGAGGATTTTGCTATGGATTATCAACACTGGAAGCGAGTGGTAACCAAAAGTTACCTCAATGGAATGGGCATTGACTGGTCTAGTGTGCGAAATGTCATGGACATGCGTGCCATCTATGGAGGGTAACCAACCAATTTATTAATTTTTGCTACATACATATGTAATTATGTATCTCATTGAATGCACCAACTTTTGAACAAGAAATGCTTTTTAACGGATTGTTACAAGGTAAAGGCCTCCCACATGCATGCATATAAATTGTACTCGACCCTTACAAAGAATGTTTTTGGGAAAAAAATGCATGGCCTAATTTTTAAAAATTATACGCTAATTTTCAAAGTTCTTTTTGGAATTTGAGATGGGCGGAGAGAGGTCTAAGAGGCTAGCATGGCACCCTTACCCCTTACCCTTTGCATGCATGGTGGGAAAAGATAATTGAGCTTTATAAAATCTAACAGCTTAGATGTTATCTGTGTGATATATTTTATTTAAAATTTCTAGAAATTACTTTAACCATAGTTGTGCTATACACAGATTTGCTGCAGCTTTGAAGGAGTTCAATGTATGGGTTATGAACATTATTTCTGTAGATGCTCCTGACACGCTACCCATAGTTTATGAGAGGGGCCTGTTTGGAATTTACCATGACTGGTGTGAATCATTCAGCACATACCCTAGATCTTATGATCTTCTCCATGCTGATCACCTCTTCTCCAAAATTAAAACGAAGTATGTATCCATTATCCAAATACAGATACTCAACACTAAAAGCATATGTCTTTTTCTTAAATAATATTTCCTCCCTTTGGTGTTGAGGAACTTGCAGGTGTGGCTTACCGGCATTGGTGGCAGAGGTTGATAGGATTCTGAGACCAGAAGGAAAACTCATAGTTCGTGACAATCTGGATGTTATAGGCGAATTGCAAACTATGTTGAAGTCAATGCACTACGAGATTCGAATGATGTATTCAAGGGACAAAGAAGGGTTGCTTTGTGTGAAAAAGGCAATGTGGCGCCCCCAGGAAGTGGAGACACTCACTTATGCTATTGAGTGAAACTAAGCATGAATAGCTTGCACCTCATTAGGTTGGGGTGGATCTACATTGTGGCTATATATGGTAGGCTAAAGTCCAGGGTAACCTAATTTTTTCTTTAATTTTGTAGTATAATTTTTTCATTTTTCCTATATAGGGTAACCTATTTAAATCTGTTATAGTCACTCTTCAGCCCACCACCACAATCCAGATTTCGGGATCCACCCCTATAATGACAGTAGGTATTCTTGTACTATTATATATCACTTATCAAGTTTTGTTGTTTTGGTGATTAATGTATGTTATTAGTGTGTCTCATTTGTTAGCAATGTACTGATAATTTGGCTTATAAGCTTGTGTATTGAATATGTATACGCAGAATTCAAAGTTGTAAATGATAAATTTTCATTTGGACAAAACATAATGAAATCATTTTTCTAGTAACTATATATTTTGGTGTGAATTCTTTAGTATATTTGTTGGACTGGTTAAATCAAGTCATGCAATAACCTCACCTACTATGTGTCTATGCCTTTCCCTGAGGCAGTGGGTGTTAGAAATTAAACTTGGCTTAGCCCAATAATTGGGTCCATTAGAAGTTAACTTATTGTGCTAGTAGTTGTATGAAAAATAATGAATTAGTTAACCCATAAGTTGGACTTAATAAAGAAAGCTCTAGAGTACTCTTTAGTTTATGTACATAAATAGTTCTAGAATATTCCTAAGCTGGAATCCTATAGAATATTGTATAATGTTAAAGATATATGAATGCCTAGAAGGATCCTATGAGACCTATAAAAAGAGCACTTCTCACACATTTGTAACACAAGCCAAAAGCTATAAATCAATAAAAGTTCCAAGTTCTCCCAAAATTATCTTTCTCTAAAATACTCTCTTCCACACACAATCACCCAAATATAATACTCATAAACTACTTTCTTCCAACAAAGTGGTATCAGAACCACCAATCCTTTCAAGAAACATGAATGCCAACGGCTTAGTTCCATTTCAATTTCCTCGCCTCACTAAAGAAAACTTTTCTAGTTGGTGCATTCGCATGAAAGCCTTGCTAGGATCTCAAAATGCATGGGAGATTGTTGAGAAAGGTTATGAGGAACCTCAAGATGATGCTACTTTAAATCAATCCCAAAGGGATAGTCTCCAAAGGAGTAGGAGGAAGGCTCAACAAGCTCTCACTCTCATATATCAATGCTTAGACGAGGGCTTGTTCGAGAAGATTGCAAATGCCACCACTTCTAAAGAAGAATGGGAGATACTACATAATTCTTTTAAGGGAGTCGATAAGGTGAAGAGAATTCGTCTTCAATTACCTGATGTGTGTACCTATAAGTGTACATGAATATGTCCGTTCATTACTTGATGTGTGCACCTTCAATTCATCTCTGTACCAATTGTTGTTATTGCATCGGCAACCCATTTGTATTTCATGAGCTAATTTCTGCACTTAATATATACTCATATGTGATACGTGATAGACCCAGTATACTAACAATTACACAATCATAACAGATAAAGAAGAAGAAGCAGATAGAAAGATATGAGCTATTCAACAAATCTGGTATACCGTGATAATGGTCGTTGCTCTCCCTCGAGAAGGAGAGCAGCGGCAAACCCTAATCTCTCTATCTCTGAGCCTCTATTCTCTAAAGCCTCAATCGTTAGGTTTCCCGTAAGTTAGCTCCTCCTTTTACAGGAGAGGATGGCTAACTTATGGGTTACAAAGAAGCTAACGGGCTAATATACATTTGTGGCCCATATTACACATTTAATTAATAACTACACAAATACAAAGATATTTAACTAGATTGGACACCATAAAATATTCTCAACAATCTCCCCCTTGGTGTTCAATCGTGTTGAATCAGCATTGCAGCACGAATATCTTTGTCTTTAATGTTATTGAGCTTCCTTTGTCTTTGAACTTGACTTCTTCTGAAAGCTTTATTAAGAAATCCTCGCAATCTCCCCTTTGATGTTTTCTTAGCAGTTTGAACTTTGATGCCGGGGTTTGAGGAATCTTTTTCTTGTAATCTTTGCCTTCCAGAAGTGGCTCTTGATCAGCTTGGATGAAGTGCAGTGACGCCTCTAGAATGAATGTTCTGATGATTATCAGGGGCGCACGGGATTCATCTTCAGTACACGAGTATTTGACCTCTGTTTCCTCCACAATGTAGTCTTTTTGACTATTTGGAATGAATGCATTTAAGGAGAACTTGTCGGTGGCACAACAGAACATAATGATGGTTGACTTGTGAGCGTAGCTGACCATTTGAGTTGCAGAGATAGTACAGAGTATTGGAGGAGAGAAATGTCCCAGAATGATTTGTTGACAGTTAACAACATGTGGACCACTCTCCCCTCATGACGATCCAATGATTCGGGGCGTCATGCCTTTATTCTTTTGTTCAAACTGAAAAGAAACAGAAACGTAAACACCAGAGACATCATGGTGTTCCGTTATCACAATCAACAATGTAAACACTGATGTGTGGCCTGTATAAAATGATAGAAGCATTACAGCTTTAAGAGGACTTCCAACCAGTCATTTTGAAGCATCCGAATAGATGTCACTCTGGTTGTTATGGCAAAATCATAAAGATTAGCATTAAGAACTTGTAGCCCCCCAAGGTCATGTAGACACTCGTTATCATCACTATAGAGATAAACTCTAAAGCAATGGCATGAAAATGTTGGTGATTCTTATGTTGCAACAGCAGGACTTCCTTCCAATCATTGGTCTACATCTGTAATAGATGAGCCATATGGAAGTTCTCGCGGGTCATGAAGACCTGTAACTGACTCTAAAAGTGCGTCTGTGTCCTAGAAATTTCAAAACATTTGGGATGGATGTTACTAGACACGACGTGATCAATGAAAGTTCAGTGGCATGGGGCTGAGGCCACTGTAGTCGGTATCACTTGCCTCAAAAGGAGACAGTAATGAGAGACGCGGTTCCCCGTGAAATATGATTAAACACCTGTCTGTTGGGAGACAAGTGAGTGGTCTTGGGTAGGGTTAAACATGCACTGTTGGACAAGATGCAGTGACTTCTACCCGGGATCTGATTAAATCAGTCATGAACCTATGGGGATTGTCCAGAATATTTGAGTGGCTAGGAGTAAATGTTCAATTGATAGCAGGCAGTTGAGGTAGCAGACTTATCATTGATTTATGTTTCCTTGTTGACTTGAGCCTTCTCCTTCCTAATGCTCACAATGTTCACTCACTCACTCGCTCACTCACTGACTCACTTACGCTCGGCTTTGTCCCTTGGGTAGGCTTAGTTGGGTTTACTAAGACATAGGGACATGTTCTCTCATTACTTTCTTGATTTTCTCTCAGGACTCCCCCTCAACTGGAGCACTTAGTATGCTTTGTCATTGTTAGGCACCGGGGAGGACAACATTTGAACACTCCCCCTAAAATATTGCATCCTTCGAGAGATTCCTTGCTTTGTCGGTGTAAGGTGCCAGGAGGAGAAATCTGAAACTCCCCCTCAGAATGTGCAAGGTTTGATTGCTCACAGCTTGTCATACCCGTCATGTGTGTGGATCAATCTGAACAGGTACCACACATGACGATTTCCTTAAGCTCATCATTTAGAATTTCAGCATATTGATGGTCACACAATGTTGATGAGTTAGGGGAGGCTTCAGTAGTTGATTGTTGTAAGATGACCGTTGACGCGAGGTTGATCGAATTATCTACTATTTTCGGACCTCTACAGTGAAGTTTTGAAAATCTTTAACCTTTGGCTTGACTTTAAAAGAATTTGATCAGATTTGCCTAAGTTTTGACCTTGACATCGGTGATTTACAAAGTTTGTCGGAAAACGAACGTTTTGACTCTCAAGGACTGCGCGTGAGGGCGCCCGAGAAATCATGTAGATCTTTGTGTTAGCTTTCCAACAAAAAAATTCGCTTAAATCGGATCACTGAGTCAAAAGTTATGACCAAAACAGTGCGATGTCGCAAAAAAATCTCGAAATTTTGAGATTTTGAGGAATTTCTTCGAAGTTGAGGTTCTCGATGTTGAATATCGAGAACAGGTGGGATTAAGGAAAATTCTAAGGCAATATCTCGAAATCCTAATCTCGAGGTGTAAATCTCGAGATTGTAATCTCGAGTTTGCCTCGAAGAATAATGGCGAAATCCACCTGCAAAACAGACCCTGAGACTTCGGAATCTTCAGAATTTCAAGTTGTTTCGAACATAAAAAACATTGGAGTTTCGCAAACCTCATAATATCGAAAACTTGTTGTTTGAAAAACATCAAAACATCGAAAACTTCTAAAAACTTTGATAAGCAGAGATTCATTCAGATATCCTATAATGTAAAGCTTCGATGAATTGCGAAGAATGTCAAGTTTCGAACAATTCTGAGTTTCAAGAAACCGCAAACTTGGAAATATTCAAAACATCGAGAAATTCCAAAAATCTCGAAATCTTTCAGAATGTCGAAATCCTAAACATTGAGTTCCCAAAACTCGAAATTCCAAAACTCTAAATTTCAAAACTCGAAATTTCAAAACTCGAAATTTCAAAGCTCGAAGTTTCAAAACTCGAAGTTTCAAAACTCGAAATGTCAAAACTCGAAATTTCAAAACTCAAAATTTCAAAACTCGAAATTTCAAAAATACGAAGCTTCAAAACTCGAAATTTCAAAACTCCAAATTTCAAAACTCGAAATTTCAAAACTCGAAATTTCAAAACTCGATATTTGAAAACACGAAATTTCAAAATGTTGAGTTTAGGAATTCGAGACCCTAAATGTCGAGTTCCTGCAAAATGAAAACTTCGAATTTTGAAAATCTGAAAATTGTTCTGAATAGCCTTGAAGGTTGAGATTCCTCCTGTATCTGTTTCAAGTCAAAATCGTTTCTGCATCCATGTAAAAGTATAAACTCGAGGTTTCATGTAGAGTTCTTCGAAATTGAAAATTTGCAGAAATAAAAAACAAAGATATGTTGTAGAATCGTTTTGAAGAGGCGATTCCAACAGTATAATTTTTACAAATTTTCGTTCACAAACAAGATTACATGAGCAAAACTCTATATTGAAGAAAAAGAGAAGACAAGCAGAGCAGTTCTTCGTTAGATCCAAAAAATTGCAGATAGATTCAACCTGTTTCACGCATCGGCTCTGATACTAATTGATAGACCCAGTATACTAAGAATCACACAATCATAGCAGATAAAGAAGAAGAAGAAGCAGATAGAAAGATATGAGATATTGAATGAATCTGGTATACCGTGATAATGGCCGCTGCTCTCCCTCGAAAAGGAGAGCAGCGGCAGACCCTAATCTCTCTATCTATGCGCCTCTATTCTCTAAAGCCTCAATCGTTAGGTTTCCCGTAAGTTAGACTCCTTTTATAGGAGGATGGCTAACTTATGGGTTACAAAGAAGCTAACGGACTGATACAAATTTGTGACCCATATTACACATTTAATTAATAACTACGCAAATACAAAGATATTTAACTAGATTGGACACCATAAAATATTCTCAACAAAAATTTAATATTTTACCATTTCCTGATTGTGACCACACCACTAATTATCAACACTATTATTAAAGCAACCCGTTTTCATTGCATAATAACTAATTTAATTTGCCCTATGTCAAGAGGATTTTAATTGATACAGAATACGTAGTACGAAGTGAAAATTTGATATGTGATCTTGTTATCTGAAAAAATGTGCACTAGAATAGAGATGATGAGTAATGGATAATGGTCAAGGGTGGATCCACTTTGGGGCAGGGGTAGTTGCCCCACTCAACCCCACCCACCCCGATATATATATGCAGGACCGGCCATGGGGGCTAGGCACCTAGGCAGTGGCCTAGGGCACCACTCTCAAGGGGCATCATTTTTTATGAATATAAGGAGCCTGTCAGCCGGCTGGGCTGCTGCCAGGCCGGATGGGCCAATAGAAATTACGGAGTACGAAATTAACCTAGTTAGCCTAGTAGCCTATTAAATCCATTACGGAGTAGAATTTAAAAAGTCCCTACAGCGTACTCCCTGGTATGCTCTACGGTCATACGGAGGCTAATTGGCCATAGAATATGGACGGACTCACAGACCAAGGTAGGCAGGTAGCTGACTGCTGACTACTGTAGTACTGTGAATTGTCTACTAACTAGCTACTACACTACAGCAGTACAACACTCCCATTCGGCTGACCTGGCCCCGTCTGCAAACCAGCCAACTAGGTAAAGACTTGTACTCCCTCCGTCCCGAAATAATTGTCCTGCTTTCCTTTTCGGTCCATCCCAAAATAATTGTCTTACTTTGAAACTTTCCTTATTTGGTAAACAAATCTATACAAAACAGCGTCAAACAGTGCAAAAAAGTGCAAAACAGTGTCGTTACAGTGTCAAACAGTGTCGCTACAGTGTGAAGTCAATTTCATTTTCTTAATTTGTGTGAAGGTCAAAGTAGGACAATTATTTCGGGACGGAGGGAGTAACTTATTCTACATTCAATTTATTAATTATTATTTATAAGTTGTATTAAATTTGAAG